CTTTCTTTAAAACTTTTACGAAACGAAAGCTCGCTTTAAGATCGAAAACCTCTTAAAGGTCTTACATAGATCGAAGACCTCTTAAAGGTCTCATAGGGACAGAAAAGATCTTAAAGGTCTATAGATAGAAGACTTTAATGACCGGCCTTCTATAGATTATTAAAAAGGATTGAATTTTTGCAATGGAAAGAAAACCTCGTGTATGTTTTTTTAAGCAAATTTTTGGGTTGTGTTATGATGGAAAGAATTCCTCTTGAAGTCCTCTTTAGTGGATGAAAAGCCTGCTTCTATGTATGGAAGACCTCTTGTGAAGCTTTTCTATCGACAGAAGTCGAACTCATGCTCATTCCTTCCTCTCAGCCTTACAACACTACATTTTAATCAGCCCCTCATCCGCATATTTTTCATCAGTTCCTCATCCACACATATCCCACACCTCTCATTATTACACTTTTCACAGCACACTCCAATCCCCACATATAATGCCTTTTTGGAAAAAAATTTTCCATATTTTCATAAAAAATATATTAAAGTTGAGTTTATTCAAATAATGAAGTGAAAAATGTGTTGTGTGCTATAAAATGATATCAACTTTTTTGCTAGACAAATTTAACCCAGGTAAGTCCTCTTCTTCTCCCATTTAAAATTATGTATCAGTTCGCCATCCTGATATTTGGAAAAATTGTATTCTTTTTTTTAAGTTTTATTCTGTAGTAAACCCCTGTTTGCTGCATTTCATAATTTAACGGTTATTTTCTTTTTTCTCCTTCTCAATTTATCCATCCTAATTTCAATTGCATTTCGTGGTATACTCCGTTTGTATTTCATAATCTAAGGATTGTTTTTTTTTTTTTTCTCCATCTTACTTTGACATTGAATTTCATTCCATGGTACCAACAGCCGCCGCCAACTATTGCCAGAAAAAATAACGTCCCTTTTGTAACGCTTCCACGCAATCAAATTGTTTCTTTGTTTTCTCCGTACTCTCTTTCAAACAACATTTATTCATTTTGTTGTGATCCACAAATTCATTCAACAACCCTTCTCTAAAGGGAAATCCATTTTCATTTTCATTTCAAAACATCCAACATATCAGCTGTACCTTCTTTCCAAACAAACGAACGCAAAATTGCGCAAAACAAACAAAAGATCCAATGCTCTAGGTAGGAAACTCCGGTAATATTAAATGGAAATCACAATGAAAACTTCGGTACCTCGGCATATGCTGTGCTAATGTTTTCCACACCGAAAAGAATTCCCGGACCTTCGTAAGAAATTTATATCATTTTGGCGGGAAATTTTTTGATTTTGCTGCAGCAAGCAGTGTCATGTAAACACGGCTTTGTTGCATTTCTAATTGTAGAGCACACATGATTTATGGCGACATGAAGTTGTTTGTTTTTGTTTAGATTTTACTTTGTTTTTCAAATTCTTTCCATCTTTCCTAATGTTTCTCCAATGTCGTTTTCTTCTTTCTTTCTTTCTAATAAATCAGATTTTCTTTCCTTTGAAAATGTCGTGCCTATTTTCTGTTGCACAAATAACGGCTTTACTCATATGCCAGGGGCCAATGCAATGAGAAGTTGTTGAACAAGAGCACAGTTAAGCGGAGATAATGTGTAACTATCTCTTAAAAATAACCAAACATGTTTTGTTGATTCTCTTGAAATTTCTCTAAGGCGCTTGCTCCTTTCCTTGATGAAAAAATATACCTTTGGCTAAATGTTATTTTGTAGTTTTAAGGAATTTAAAATTTACATTTTTAGTAATCATTTGTTTCTTTTTCATTTACCCTCCTATTGGTACTATATAATTTTTAATTGTCCCCTTCAATTGTGTTTTATTGTTATTATTACCAATTGCATTGGTCATGACAAGTATAACAAGGGAGAGGACTTTGACATTTAAGAGAAAGAGATTATTATTATTATTTTGCTTCTTTTCAATGAAATTGCAGCCATTTTCTTCTAAATAACAATATTTGTATTATTTTGTAGTTCATAATTTTTTTTTTTTTTTTTTTTGGATTATATTTTTTTGCAAGTTATTCTTCTGTTTTTCATTACAAATAATAATAAATACTTGACTTCTATTACTAACTTCAGTTAGAGAGAGTACGACATGGTGCAATTGTTGATTCTCTTAGTTTGGTTTTATTAGAGTATCAGTGTTGTCAATGTCTTTTAATGGATATTCCGTGAGTTTTGTAGGTATACCCTTATAAATCGGCCAAGTAAATCGAGATGATGTGTAAAACATAAATGAAATGGATTTTTTCCTAATGTTTCTTCATCATATTTTTATATCAAATTTTTATAGCATCGATATAGTGTGAAGTATAAAGTGGCCAAAAAATCTAATAACTTGCAATTCTATTCTAAAAATGGTAATTTTTCTTTAACCCATAACTTAAAATGATATTTTAAATATCTAAGGATATTTTAAGGATTACCAGATATTTTGGTTGCCTCCAAAATTTTTTTTTCAAATGACTACTAGAAAATCTAAAGACAACATATGTTATTTGTTATACCTTCAACCGTAACTATTTTAAAAACTAACTTTACAGTGGAAAAGCATTCAATTTTGTGAAATTCTTGATACTTTTTTCGTCATTGTTCTTTATACCACAAGGTATTATGTCCTTGTGAGTTTGTTTGATAGGCAAAAGGAAACAAGATAGACCCATAGTTCCTTTTGATGATCTTAATAGAATCACTTCCTGAGTTGATTTATGCATGGCCGTCCATGTATTTTTGTAAACAAAGTACAGGCCGCATTTAGTGCCCGATCCAAATGAAATTTTGCACAAGACATTTGTTTCACCCAATTACGAACCCTATGGAAATTGGAGATAATCTGTAAAAATATATGTATACCACCTCCCATATATATCTTCTTCCGATTTGCCTTTTATTGTGCATCAAACGTGTAATATTTGCCCAAATAGAATGGAAGTTTACACATACGACCAAATTAGGCCTGAAAATAAGTATACAAAATTTGATCGAAATCGGTTTAGATATATAGCAATAGCTCCCATATATATTGTTTATTCGATTTGTTATATTTGTCCTCTGCAGCCGTATATATCAAATACAGCTCAGAAATACTTTTGCCAAATTTTATCGAGATCGGTTCAGATTTGAATATAGCTAGCATATATATCTTCTTCCGATTTGCCTTTTATTGTGCATCAAACGTGTAATATTTGCCCAAATGTGATGGAATATGGCACTTACGACCAAATTGAACCTAGAAACATATGTGTAAAATTCTAAGAAAATCGGTTCAGATATAGCTATAGCTCCCATATATGTTGTTCATTCGATTTGTTATATTTGTTCTCCACAGCCGTAATATACACTCCGTAACAACGATATTCGGGGAAATATATCAAATACAGATCGGTTCAGATTTGAATATAGGTAGCATATATACCTTTATCTGAATTCAAGTTAATTGTGCACCAAATGTTACAAATGCACCTGCAAATTTAGTAGAAATCAATTCAGAGGAGGATATATTCCTATCATATATTACTCCCTTTGGACTTTAAATTATAACTATAATCATAATTGGCGTGATTTAGTTCTCCATTGATTGATTGATTATAAATTCGAAAATTCCTTGTTGAATTAAATTAACCAAATAAAAGATTCTAATAATTATAAAATGCTGATTAACGTTAGTCAATTCATGAAAGTTGGCATCACTGTTCCCTTCTGATAACGGCCTCTTGGCGCTCTTTGTATAAAAATTAACTCTCTTTTCTAGTCTAGTTCGTTGTTATGCAGCGGTGCTCAAAACCGTGTTCTAGAACATGAAGAGAAAAAAGAGATAATTTAAGAGAAAATTAAAATTCTGTTTTTCTTTATATTTTACGGTTCTATTTAATTGTTCTTAAACACGAATGTTTGCCAAAATAATTTATAAAGCAAATGGATAAAAAATATTTGTATAAATAATGACTTAACACTGTTTTGTTCTTGATTTAAATAAGCAAAGAGAAATTTGACTGAAAAGAGATATTTCTTCTTGAGCACCGCTGTTGTTATGTCAAATTCGTTGGTTTTGCTTGCCATGGTATTTCGTTCCTTCTTTTACATGACGGCGACTTTGCTTGGTTGGTGCTGTACCTTTTGTGTGAAAACAGAAACTCAAGCAAATAACAACCTCCTCATATCGCAGTGTGGAGTTTTTCTCTACTCTATACTACAGCGGCGCATTATGGCGCGCTCTTTCGTATTTCGTATATGTCTACCTAGTGTGTTGGCTGTGTCTGCTGGCTGGCTGGCTTGCTTGTATAACTAACTGCCTGTGTTAATGGCGGCATTAAATGGCTCTTGAAGGTTGGTTGGGTTCTTCTCCACAACAATATATAATATTTCAAACAAACAGCAGTCGATGTGGTCGGCGGTCTCTTTCCTTGCATTGCTGGCACACAAAATTGCTACTTAGCTATATGTTGGCTAGCATAGTACTACATACGAGGCTTGGTGAATAAAAGAAAACAGCCATCATACGATGTTACAGACATGCGTATCAACAAAACAGAAATTTGGAAATTACGACCATTTTTTGATCCCACCTCGTATACCGCGTAATAAAGGCACAAGCAAAACCCAGCCAAATCCTCCTTACATACCATACCTATGATGCCTTTATAACACAAGCCAGCATCTGCTGTTTTTCAAGGGTTTTTTCGTTGGCTGTGCTGTGCGATGGTTTGCTTGTTTCCTGTGAAATGCCTGACAATATACATTGTATGCTATATTCCTTTTGCACCACCACCACTACGCAGTGAGTGGTGGAATATGCCTGGAGTTTCTTTTACCTAGACCTCCTTCCTTTATATGCTACATGAGGCAACTAATTGTTTGCATACATTTGTCACTGTGTTGTTTGTTGTACACCCAGTTCTTTCTTCCTTCTATACCTACTACATGGATTTTCTGCTTGGGCAATGTCACAGCTAAACCCTCGGCCAATTACTCTATCACACAGTTGAAGTTGAGGATCTCAAGGAGACAGTTCTAATAGAAAATTTGAAAAATTAAATATTTTGCCTAGCAAAATTTAAACAAATTTGGAATTGTTAACAAAAAAAAAAATCAGTGCTTGACTGACTGACTACTGCTGCTGCTTTGGAATTGTTTGAAAGTTTGTGTGGAACAAAATACAAAACAACTTTGAAAAAGTGAGTTGAAAATTAAAATTGCCTTGTGAATATTGGAAAGCCAGCCTCTACACTTGCCACACATTCCCGAAATTGTAAAATCTATCCCCAAAACCATAAACATTATCATTCATCATCAATATCATAACCAATCATCCACATCCATCCTCTAACCATCATCATCCTTTCTTCCATTCTTTTTCCAGCTAATTTCAAAGCCAAATATCACTTGGGTATCCAAAACATAAAACAACACACCTTCCTCCCATCACTACCACTTTTCCCCCCCATAACAACAACTTTCCAAACACACACAAAACAAAATGAGCGAGAAACCAAAGCGTCCTCTATCCGCCTACATGCTCTGGTTGAGCTCGGCCCGTGAACAAATCAAAAAAGAAAATCCCGGCATTAAAGTAACTGAAATTGCCAAAAAGGGTGGTGAATTATGGCGTGCCATGAAAGACAAATCGGTAAGTTGCCTCTTCAAGATTGGTCCCCAAAACAACGATGTTAACTTGTCTTCATTGTCTTTTTTTTTCCAAAACAGGAATGGGAAGCTAAGGCAGCCCAGGCCAAAGAAAACTACGAGGAAGCTGTCAAAGATTTTGAAGCAAATGGTGGCAGTACGGCGAATGGTGGTGGTTCGGCCAAGAAGCGCGGCAAAGCCGGCAAAAAGCCAGCGAAAAAGAGCAAAAAAGCCGAATCCGAAGATGAGGATGATGATGATGAAAGTGATTAAATTTCTAAGTTAAATTCTAATAATTTTTAAGTCCCAAACTATAGAAGAAAAAAAAAACAAAAAATATATAATGCCACCCCATCAAGAGTGGAAGTTATTTGTTACAAAAAAAAAAAAAGATATATATTAGAAGATAATCCTCCCGCCCCCCACCAGCCACTGCCGCCAGCTGCATAAAACTCAACTGTATTGGTGAAAATGCAAAAGATTTTAAACCTTGATTGATTGTCTTCTTCGGGCTCGATCGCGATTTCCAAAAAGCTTTTAATTGCCCAAAAATGAAGAACTACCATGGTTTATAATAGCGCGCATCTCCTTATGTACAAAACGTGAAAAAAAACCCCTATTTTTAATGCAAATGAGAAAAAATAAATAAATATTTAAACAAATTTTAATTCGAAAAGAGATTTTCTTTATTATATTTTGCCTTATGCAAAGGGTGGAACTCAAATATAACTGGGAAATAAACGCCTTTTTGGTGAGATATAGATACATTTCATTTCTTCCCCCTTCTTACGTTTTTCTAAGACATTTTCTATATTATTCTCGGGTTTAAAGAGGACATCTTCTCCTAGAAAAGTTCAGAATTGACCACCGAGCTTTTGAGATTCTTTTCTATATAGAAAAAAAAACGCCAGAAGGAAAAGTCATCTCTCACAGAGGACACCTACCTCTCGCGGATCTTCATTTGTTAATTATACAGCGAAATACAGGGGAGGTAAAAAAAACTGCAACAAAGTCAAACGCCATAATTTTTCCATTTTTTTTTTAATTTTATTGCATGAAAGCAAAAAATTTCGGAAATTGCTTCAAATTTTTGAATAAGTTTAGATTTGTTCGAATTGGTCACCTTTGGAACGAAACCGTCAGACCATTGGCCTTTCGAAGGCCATAGTTGACCAATTCAAACAAATCTAAACTTATTCTAATATTTGATGCTTTTTCCGAATGTTGCTCTGCGGTATTTTGGCCCATTCCCGGCGAAGCGCTTGCTAGAGGTGATCGACACTTTGGCATTTTTTAGTGCCAACCTTGCTTTCCAAAATACTCCAGACACAATAGTCCAACGGATTAGTATCCGGAGATGTTGGTGGCCATTGTGCGCTGGAAATGAAGCGAGGAACCTCATTTTGTAACCATTCTTTGGTGGCGCGTGCTAAGTGCGATGGTTCTGAGTCCTGTTAGAATGTCCAAGGTCTGCTGTCAAAATGTTTGCGCGCCCAAGGCTTTAATAACCCTCCAGAATATTTTCGCGATAATATTCGGCATTTATTCTGATGCCTCGGTCGACTAATACGAGTGAAGAGCCACCATCGGCTGTTATGGCGGTCCGCCACACCATCACCATGGCCGGCGCTTGAGTTCTGGTGGCCAAACGAAAGGTGCACATTTTCAGTTGACCTCTTTGGCAAGTTAAAACGATCATTTTGTTTGTTTACAAACTGCTGGATAATGAATGTTTTCTCAACGGCGAAACCCAAATTCGGCAGTTCACCACTTTCGGCCAAGCGAAGCAATTCTTTACCTCTTTGGAGTCAACTTTTCTTTCTGTTGCGGTGTAAGTTCTTGCACTTTTTGGAATTTCAATAGCTTTACCCTGAGCTCATTTTTCAATATTTGACGAATGGAATATTGCTATATGTTCAGCTCACGAGCCATTATTTGGCCACTGCGACGCGGGTTTCGATCAAATCGCTTCTTTTCATTTCGGATCATTTCTCCTGATGTTGCAGTTTTCCTTTTTCATCTCACCCTGTATAACTTATGGCTGTAAAGATAATCTGTTATGACATCTTTCCCAGTTTTCTCTGTAAAAAAAGAACGCCTTGAAGCTCCTCTTCTATACGTAAAAAGCTGGCAAAAACAAATCCTCTACTCATTTGGAGGTCATTCAAAAGAAACTGTTTTTCTCAAAGAGCCTTGACAGAGGTCGCATGTTCAATGCATTCCACACATTTCTCAATATGATTAAAGTGAACATTTCGATAAAAAGAACTCAAAATGTCCCGGAAGTTTGATTGATGCATAACACAAATTCATCTCCATCGAAATTTTGCCAAAGCATCGTTGCGAGTATTTTGCCCAATGTTTTACAATTAATTTATTTGCTTCCCTATTTTCCTGTCATCACTATCCTGATATATTATGAAATTTCCATTCCAAAATTTGGTTTTGAAATCCATATATTTGTAAAGTTTGTTGCATTTCATAATTTAACGGTAGATTCAATTCAAATTCCCTTGAAATCGTGTGTGTGAATGATACCGGTGACATTGAACTCCAAGAACAGCCACCGCCAAATATGGCTCAAAAGCAGACTTAAAAAATAATCGTCATCCTCTTTGTAATGCTAACAAACAATCGAATTATTTTTGTTCTGTCCTCTCCTTCAAACAACATTTATTCATTTTGTTGTGTTCCATAAATTCTTTTAACAACCCTTCTCTGAAGGAAAACTTCTATTTGAAATATTATCCAACATCAGCTGTACTTTCCAAACAAACGACAGCAAAATTGTGCAAAACAAAGAAAGAATGCAATACTGGATGGGGAAACTCCAGCAATATTAAATGGAAATCATGGAAAATTTGAAGTTGTTTTTCAAAGGCCTCAAATAATGCATATCGCTGTTTGGCGGGAAATATTTGTGTGTCTATTGCTGCTGCAATAATTTGTTTAAACTGCTTTGTTGTATTCCTAATTGTGCTTTGTTGTATTCCTAATTGTGCCACTAGATTGTGTTTGTTTCATAAATTATACAATGTTTTTTTTTTTCAAATTCTTGTTTTATTTGCCAACTTTTCTAGCGTCCTTTTCTCCTCTAATATAATTTTCTTTAAAAATATTTCTGCTGTTTTACAATAGTCATCTCCTTTGTTTCTATTCCACAAATAACGGCTGTGCTCTCATATGTCAGTCAGCAGGTGCTGCAATGAGAAATTGTTGTTGAGTGCGTTCACTCAGTTAAGGGGGGAAGATAGTATGTAACTATCTCTTTGATTCTCTTGACATTTTTGTAATTTACGTGGTGCTTGTTTTACTTCCTTGATGATGAAATGATACAACCAAGACGTTTGGCAAAATATTTAGCAACGTATTGGAATCTTAATATCTCTATTGGTTTCTTTTTTCCATTTTCGATTAAAAAACTTTGTGGCTCGTAATTTTTAATATAATATTCTGTTTTTGCATAAAAAATTTTAATAAATAACACTGGAATTCTCTGACTTGGATGAGAGAGTATGACATACGGTACATTATTGATTCTCTTTATAATGATTCTTATTTCCTTGTGGTTAAGAATATCAGTGTTGCCAATGTAATTTAATGGAAATTCCGTGGGTTTTGTAGGTATACCTTTATAAATTACAAATATATGGATTTCAAAACCAAATTTTGGAATGGAAATTTCATAATATATCAGGATAGCGATGACAGGAAAATGGGGAAGAAAATAAATTAATTATAAAACGATGGAGATGAATTTTTGACCAATTCGAATAAATCTAAACTTAGTCTAATATTTGATGCTATTTCCGAATGTTGCTCTGCGGTATTTTGGCCCATTCCCGGCGAAGCGCTTGCTAGAGGTGAAGGCCACAATCCGTTCCAAAGGTGACCAATTCGAACAAATCTAAACTTATTCAAAAATTTGAAGCAATTTCCGAAATTTTTTGCTTTCATTCATTATTTCAGCGAATATCCTGAAACATCAATAATTGAAATAAAAAAATACACATTGACTTAAGGTTGTTTTATAAAATTGCTGAGAAATTAAAATTAAACTTTAAAGTTTGTATACATTTATGGCTTATCTTTATATAAAAAATCCTACCTACTAGATCCACAAAGTACAGAGCCTGTTTGTATAAAACGCGTTATTTAGATTATTAAATCCTTTGTTATACGTCATATAAATTACGATACATTGTAATACGTGTAGTTTAAATCTCGGTTGTAAAGCAGGCGATTTTTCAAAGGAAAATTGAAACTTCCTCTTCGATCATTTAAATTAAATTTACTTTAAAAAGTATATATTTTAAGCAATTTCCCAAGATTTAAAAATGAAAAATAGAAGATTTTTATGGTGTTATATTTATTCGACACTTTTCAAAAAGGACGTGAAAGCATATTCCGGCAAAGTATTTTTTTATATATAAAATATAACAAGTTAAAAAGCAGCTAAGTACGAAAAGATTTTTTTCTGTTATAGGCTGTAGTATCCATTACGAACTTCAAATACCAAATTTGAAACAATTCCGGTTAATAATGTCGCTAAAATCATTAAAATACCGATATAAGGAGGTACCATTATATGGGGGCTAATACCAAAACGTATATGGTCCATTTTCAATACCAAAAGTCCTGCAGACAAAATATACATTTGAGTAAAATTTTATCAACCTACCTACTTAATTTCGTTTGGAAGCTAGAGTGATTTCCACAGACGGACGGAAATCGCTAAAACGACATATTATTCGCGGAGTGGTCTCAAATGTATATTTCGAGGTGTTATCAAATTTATATTTCGATATGTTATATTACACCCTCCATACTATGGTGAAGGTTATAAAAATATAGCTTTTAATGACTAGCAATTCTGAAAAAGTTGAGTTGTTATTCCGAACGCTGAATTTTTTTTTAATATTTAAGGATTTTTTAAAGACTAACAGAGCTATAAAATGGTATTATTTTAAGGGACCATTAGAAATTATTTTGGTGGTACATCTGCCATAGATTCTTTTTAAAGTGATTAGAAAATCTATGAAACGGCAAATTAAAAAGAAAAAGAGGAAAGAATTTATGATTGATTTTGAAAAAAATATCCTGCTAACCATTCTATAATTAACTGTTGCATTTGAATTTTGGCATCATATCCAAGAAATATTCTAAATTGACCAGATAAACAAAAAAGGTTTTAATAATTATTAAAAAATGTTGATTAACGTTAGTCAATTCATGAAAGTTGGCATCACTGCTTACTTTAATAACGGACATTTGGCTCTTTCTATAAAAATAATTCTCTTTCTCGTATCATCGTCGTTTATGTCAATTTCGTTTGTTTGGTTGGTGCTGCTTTGCTTGTCATGATGGTATTTCGTTCCTTCTTGCACATGACGGCGACTTTGCTTGGTTGGTGCTGTACCTTTTGTGTGAAAACAGAAACTCAAGCAAATAACAACCTCCTCATATCGCAGTGTGGAGTTTTTCTCTACTCTATACTACAGCGGCGCATTATGGCGCGCTCTTTCGTACATGTCTACCTAGTGTGTTGGCTGTGTCTGCTGGCTGGCTGGCTTGCTTGTATAACTAACTGCCTGTGTTAATGGCGGCATTGAATGGCTCTTGAAGGTTGGTTTGCCTTCTCTGCAACAATATATACAATTTCAAACAAACAGCAGTCGATGTGGTCGGTTTTCTTCCTTACATTGCTGGTGTTGATGCACATAAAATTTGTACAAAAATTGCTACTTAGCTAGCTGTGTGTTGCCTGACAGGCTGGCGGCGAGGCTACCTAGCATACACATACCACTAAGGAGTAAAAAAGGCACAAGCAAACCAAGCTAAATCCTCACATACTCGTAAAAAGACCTCTACACAATACAAGCCAGCATCTGCTAATTTCCAAGGGTTTTCTGGTTGGTTGTGCTGCGACGGTTTGCTTCTTTCCTGTAAAATCATACAGGGTGAATGTTGGATTTTATATCTGTGTTATTTGTTTATCATGCATTTTCTCACGAACAGCTCGATGCCGATCCCCGCGCTATAGTATACTGTAGATGTTGAGGATCTCAAGGAGATCAACGTTTTGATAAGTCTGCTACTTGTCCCAAACAGTTGACATTTTTCCACCAAATTTCTATATTGGGGTCCGATAAGGTTCTTGACCCAAAAATTGTTTAGTTTTGCCCCGAGGGAACGGACTGTATGTTCAAAAATATCAAGAAGTTGCAATGGGTTTGTGAACAGATCGTTAATTTGGAATGATAAACCTACATCCACACATCTAGACAAAGATCTAGGCGTAAAAAACATACGTGTGTTGTGTCCCATTGGTAGACTTTTTAAATTATTGGTCCTGAAAGCTTAAATTTGCTGCTCAGTATCTGCTAAGAAAAAAATAGTTAATAATTACACAATATTCGCTACACTCATTTTTTATACCCTCCGCCATTGAAAATGGGCCATGTGGATCCACGTTTTGGGTATAGGCTTCACATAACTGGCCACTGGCAAATTTAAGAAGTTTTGGCTGTTTTAATCACAATTTTATCACGAATTTGCTGTAAAGTGACAGTTTATGTTCCCAGAATGTTGGAAATATTCCTTGCATAGAACTGCTCCAAGTTTTCGTAAATTTGAGGTAGTATATATACGTATATCGTCGTATATAATGGTACCTTCCGACAATCGGTAAGTTGCGATATTTAGCTACATTTTTCAATGAAATTGTTTCAATTGGTATTTCGAGTTTGCAATAGGTCCTTATTTGGTACGCAATTGGATACACGTCTGTCGTGTAGCCCTCATACAACTGTACCATACCCGATATTTTAGAGGCATTTCTCAAAGGAATTATTTAAAAATTTGCAAATTCCTCCTAAATGGTGGGGAGTTACAAGTTCGGCTGGTAGTTTTATAAAATATAATTTCCGCACCTATTAACATGATTTAAATTCTGATATATCTAGTCATTAATGTCAAACTAAAATTCCAAAATCTATGCTATTGCAGTTGTGGATTAAAGGTTTCTACTTGACATACTGATTTGTTTTTTTTTTTTTATCTGCAAATACATAAAAACTGTGAATTAATAATGTAGTGACAAAAATATAATTTTTTGCGTACCTAGTCAAGTTGGGAAACTTATAGTTTTTGTATTACTCTGACCCTACTGGTAAGGGAATGTAACCGATGATATAGACTTTCCCCATCCTTCCTTCAAAATATCTATTAAAAAAAATCATTCCAAACCATATTTTTTCGGGATCACAAAACATATTTTGATGTGTGGCGAACGGGCGGCTTTCTTCTGCGGCTATGGCACTTTTGTTTACAATTTGTGACAAAATGTTTTTCAAAAATCAACAATTGTGACATTTTGCCCAACTGTACTGGAATGATTATAGTTATTGTATAGTCTTTTTTAAATATTGTTTTATGAATTTTACCATGGAATTTTATTTAGATTCATTAACCAGTAACGACAAGAATTAGTAAGTAAAGATTGTGCTTTTTGTGATTTGACAGTTTCTTTTTCTCTCTCCCCTCTCTGAGGCGTCATTTTATGGAAAACTCTTGTTTCATAAATACCTATTTGTAAAATACAGATTAAATGGAAGCGACAAACACCCACCAATAATCAAATTATACTTTTTTGCATTGTGTGGAACTTAAAGCCAAATTCTTCCTTTCACCATCTTTCTAAGACAACTTCGCCTTCAGCCAAAATCATACTCTCCACTATTCACTTTCTTACAGAAAATATTACAGCACGGATCTATAATAATATATGAATCTTTATATTTTTTACTTGTCCATATCTAAAATATTTTGTAGAGATTTTTTTCAGCTGTATTTTATCTTTTGAAAAATGTTAATTCTTCTATAATTGTGATTAATAATCCAATTATAAATGCCTTTGATGATTGCGCCTTTTTTCTCTATTTGATACATTGTCATTCCACTGAGAGAGTCAGCACTTTTTTGCTCTGACTTGAAGTTTCAATCAGTGTTGTCAATCAAATTGGAATTATTAGATGTTTGTTATAACCCATGCACAAAGAATGCCAATAATTTGTCATAAGATTTGCTTATGAAAGCTGGGCGTTTGAATTTCTAACAAATTAACTCCAAAGCTGTATTCGTAAGCTTGTCCGTCTTGTACTCTCCAGAAAATATTACTGAAAGCCGTTCTTTCTAACATGTTAATTTTTTAAATGCAAATAAAAATCCATTTTTTTGTATTTTGTCTAATATTGCATTTATCTAAAATGAGTTATATTTTTGTTAAATTGTTTAAATGAATACTTCTTTTCATTTAATACAAATTCGTTGCAATTTTTGCGCCTTTTTACGCATTTGACAATTTTTCTCATGGAGACTCCGTCGTTTCAGGTGTAGTCAATTATATGAAACAAAAACTCCAAAATACTTTTGCATAATACGCAAAAGATTTTCGGTTTCCTCATTTAAAATACATTTGTATCCCTATTGATCCATGACCTCCTGCCACACTATATCTTGTCTTTTCATATTTTGATGATTTATATTTATAGTTAAATTGTTTAAGGAACACTAATAGAATTTAGTTACAAGAAATTGCTAGCCTTTTTCATTATGAGCGGGAGTAGGATTTTCTTTTCAAACATTTCCGTTTCATATGATAAGATCCGTTCATCAGACAAAAATGCATTTGCATGCATAATATGCAAACGATTTTAGAGTTATATGAACGTTCCAAATCGATATTGTTGATCCGAGATCAATCTTATCTTTTCCCCTACAGAAAATAGAATTAGGCGTTTTTTATTGTGTTAATTGTATGATTGTTTATTTTGCAATAGGTAAAATCCGTAACTAAATTTTTACCATGGGAGACTTCTAATAAAACTTCATACATACTTTTTTTAATACTCAATTTATCTAATTTTCTATCACACAAATTGTTATTTAATGTTAATCAAAACGAAAGTTGTCAAAAGAAATTGCGCTATTTTCCCTTGATTTGACACTTTCTTTCTCCAATGTGTATGATCCACACTCCTTCATTATCTTATTTACTCTTAATATTTTGTCAAGTTACAGTCTCAACAAAACATGACCCACTCTCCCATAAATAAAACGGATTTTCATAAGAGAAAACATCAATTTGGGGAGAAATTGTGAGAACTCTCTTATTACCGTTCGTTCGTTTGGTTTGGTATGTGTACCTACATGGGTTACTAAGAGTTTTATGTGATAACAAAAATGGTGTACGTGCTTAAAGAAATTAAGAGGAAACAAACGAAAACATTTGTCAGCCAGCAGCAGCAGGCCCCGCTTCAGAAAAAGCAAAGCATATTCCCATTTGGGCTGTGTGTGTGTTTTGCTTCAATGTAGTACAGTAGGCAACGACGTTTATGTATCCGCCAGCTGAGCTGTCCACGTTAACAGAGACCGTTGACGTTCGTTCGTTTTTTTTTTATGGTTGGTGGTGACGACGACGAACGAACAGCAAATTTCATAGCATGCGAACTAAAATTACTGCTTAAGAAATACACACAGCACACATTATTTCGTTTTTTTTTTTATCAAACAAAAAAAGCTGATGTGAAACTCGTCGTTGAATGGAGAATGGCTCGCTGGCTGGCAGCCTTGTTGTTTTTATTTCTTTCATGCTTATAAGTAAAACGACAACGATTGCTTGCTTTTGGTTCACACAAACATCATGGGCTAACCTCTGAATGTCTATCTGCCTGCCTGCCTGTACTGCTCTGACTGACTGCCGCTGTGTATGCTTAACTCCTCTACTCGCTACTCTATATACTGTAGCAACCAAAGCGTGTGTATATGGGGTTTCTTCTTCTTTCGTCAACCATCCATCCATTATCCATTACTTTGCTTTGCTTTAACCACCATTGTATGTTTTTTTCGGCTTGGTTTGGTTGCTGCTGTTGTATTTAGTGGCTGGCTGGCTGACTGCCTGCCTGCCTGGCCCCTGTATGTATATGGGCAACATGAGCCAGCCAGCCAACCAACCAACCAATATAATACACAGAGCAGCAAAATCACACATTGTGTGTGTACTACGAACAGAAAATCAACCAACCAGGCCAGCCAGCCAACCATCTATCCATCCACTCTACTGAAGTTGTTCAGTTTGCATGACTCGCACCTAAACGTTGAACAATTTACTCTACAGTACAGTTGAAGTTAAGGATCTCAAGGAAACAGTTCTACAAAGCGACAACATTTATTGCTTAGCAAAATTGTGTAAAACAAAAAGTGTGTGCATACAAGAAAATTGTAATATAAAAATTAAACAATTTTTTAAATAATATAATTGTTTAAAACAGCAGTACAAAGATTTTGTAAATTATTGTACAAATTGTGAAACAAAACGTGAGTGTCTTTCAATTTGAATTTTTTTTTTTGACAAAGAAAACACAAGCTTGTCTACTACAAACAATTTTATTTAACTTTTTGAATTATTAATAATATTATTAATACAGAAAAGTGTTGTGTGGTGTGCTCGGGGTACAGTTTCACAATTTATTTATTTCTTTTTCGTTATCTCCTTTTGTTGGTATACCAAAAAAAGTTCATAAAAATATGTTTTTTAAATAATTTCCGTTAAATCTCATTAATTGTGTGGTGTGTGGAGCCAAGCAGCAAAAGCAAGCTTGACAGCTTCTAAAGAAGAAAAAAGCGCGAATTTTTTGGCCTCACGAGTAGGTGTTAGACATACATACAAATTATTTGTTTTAACACTACTTTTCCGGTGATTTTGCATAATAAAAAAGGAATTAGACTCACATTTATTTAAATAAATGTTGTTTTTTTTATTAAAATGAACATTTTGCTGGAAATAATAAAATAATGGCTTGGTTTGCTGATTTTCTTGGCGTTTGTCAAGCACCGTTCTCAGAGATTTCTGTTTACTCTGAGAACACTTTCATGAAAATTCACTCCGAAGAAAATAACAAAACAAACTGCGTATTTTAGATTTTATTAACATGATTTTTGTTTTTATTTAATAAAATCTACAAAAGGGACGAAGAATGTTAATAAAATGCATACATTTTTTATTATAACATGCCATACATTTTTTAATAACCCAAGCCCAGCCAAGTGAGCGCAAGGCCCAGGTATAGACACGCACAACACTTATCGACAACCAATTGAATTTTGGCGGCTCTTTTTTTTACTGCGTTTTATTTCCTTGCATAATAGAAGCCAGTAAAATTAATATATTGTTATAGTTTTATATTTCCATTAAAACATCTTTAATTTGCTGAAATTTTTTTATTTAATTTATTCAACGAAAATGATTGCCGCCTTTCTTTCTCGTTGCTTTTTGACAAGTTTTGCATTACCTACTGTACGCCTGTTGTGCTCTCTTTGTAACGTATGCTCTGAGTAATCTAAATAAACACTTAAGCATTAGGTTAGGGTTTTTTGTGTTTTATTAATAAATAACTTAAAAATATTAATATTTTAATATTTTTTTTATATTCAATTGCAATAATTTAGGCAAAACTCCCCACACAATGTTGATTATATCCTTTTGGGTGAATTATAATGACAAATGTCATTCGATTACTTGTGACCCAACCAACAGTGCTGCCAACTTGCGTTTTTTTTTTCTTGTAGCATTCAGTGGCTTCTTTGAATGCAAAATATTTCGTTTTTTATTTAGTTTTTTCTTTTTTCATTAAATTAATGTAGAAAGAGGTTTTTTATAATTTTTCATTCTGTTTTGAAAACGAATTTTTCTTTTAGTGTACATTTTCTGTTTTTTTTTTTTTTCTGAATAACAAATGTCTATGTTAGTGATGCCAATTTTTCGTTTCTTTTTTATCGTATTATTTCTTCACTATCAAAAAGCGTTCCTACATGATTTAAAAAAAATTAAATAAAGAAAATTAATTTTCTTGTTTAATTATATCAAAATGAAAAGGGAGGATTCGAATATTTAAAAATTAAAAATATTTTGTTATTCTTATTTTCTTTTTGGCATGAGTATACATACTCATTTCCTTGTTATACCAAGGGAGGACAGTACTTAAGCTAATGAAATCTTTAGATATTATTACACAGTAAAATATTGTAAACGGCCAACAAATTGAAAATAAATAATATATTGGAAACTGAGGCAATGTCAAAGCATCGTTTATAGAAGTTATCTATATCTATAAAAGAGGAAAATGTTTGTATGTTTGTTTGTTTGTTTGTTTGTTTGTAATTTATGGACTCGAAAACCGCTGAATAGATTTTCCTGAAAATTTCCATATATACTGCAACATCACCTGAAAGTAACATAGGCTATATACATTTTTGAATTTTCACTTGGAACTGGAGATATAGCATCAGAACCGGAGGTACTTCCCAAAAATTTAGATTTTATATGCACATATCTATTGATTGGTTGAAGATACAGTCTCCAAATTTGGAATACGTAACGGAATTTGGAACAAAAATAAGTTTGCCAAATTATATTGAAATCGGTTCAGATTTGGATATAGCTCCCATATATATTTTCGGCCGATTTCAAGCATTTGATGCACCAAACACGCTATGTATCCCCAATTTCAATGAAATTTGAAACGTGTGATAGATTTTATCTAAAAAATTGATTTTCCAAATTATATTGAAATCGGTTCAGATTTGGATATAGCTCCCATATACATTTTCGGCCGATTTCATGTATTTGGTGGACCAAACACGACATGTATTTCCAATTGTAATGAAATTTAAAATAAGTAACGGAATTGGGAGCCAAAATAAATTTGTCAAATTAAATTGAAATCGGTTCAGATTTGGATATAGCTCCCATATATATTTTCGACCGATTTCATGTATTTGATGCATCAAACACGCTATGAATCTCTAATTTCAATGAAATTTGGAATGTTTAGCGGAAATTAAAACAAATATACATTTGTCAAATTATATTAAAATCGATTCAGATTTGGATATAGCTCTCATATATATTTTCGACCGATTTCATGTATTTTATGCACCATACAAGATATGTATGTTCGATTCCAAAGAAATTTGGAATATGTAACGGGATTTTGATTAGAAAATAAATTAGTCAAATTATATTAAAATCGGTTCAGATTTGAATATAGCTCCCATATATATATTTTTCCGCCGATTTCACATATTTGATGCACAAAACACGATACGTATTTCCGATTCCAACAAAATACAAAAATAAATTTGAAAAATTATATTCAAATACGCTCAGATGTGATTATAGCTCCCATATATATACTCAGCCGATTTCACATATTTGATGCACCCAAAGCGAGAGAGACAAAATCTGGCACCAGCAAAAATTGCCAAATTATATTGAAATCAGTTGAGGTTTGAATATAGCTAACATATATATTTCGGCCGATTTCATACATATTATGCACCAAACACGATATATATGACCGATTCCAATGAAATTCAGAATGTGTGGCGGAATTTGGTTATAATAATAAATGTGATAAATTAATTGGAAATTAGTTAGGTTTGGATATAGCTCCCATATATATATTCTCGGCCGATTTCACATATTTGACGCACCAATTTCAATGAAATATGAAAGGTGTGGCGGAGTTTGGTGTAAAAGTAATTTTTTTTAAAATTATATTTAAATCGGATCAGATTGGGATATGATTTTAATAAGAACCATTGACCCAAAACGCCTTAGGCTAACACTAAAAAACAACACAACAATTTATTTGAAATACGCTTATTACGGCGAAGTATGTTGCTATCTCGAATTCACTAACTGCAATAGAAATGCCACTCTACTTAAAAAAAATGCAGTTTCCTGCACGCTTGGTATTTGCTATGAAATAAATAAATCCAAAGGACAAATAAATCCAAAGGACAAATGTATGCATGTCATGTTACTGCTTTTGTAGTGATTTTGTTTATTAACGCATTAAATTAGTGCAATATTTTTTTTTTAATTTTTAAATTTGTTTTCTTTATCCAACATATATTCGTAAATAAAATTTTGAATGCATATAAAATCAAAAGGGGTAGCGAAGCGCACCGGGTTCAGCTAGTTGTTTATAAAAGATCTTTATTATTGCGGTTTTCTTATGCAGAGAGCGAGAGAGAGAAAGATAATGAACTTGTGCACAGTCAATGATCTTTTTGCTTTTATATCAGCTGTTTAGATGATAAAATTCATATAATTTTTTTAAAAAATACTAATGTTTGTTTAATTTTTTTGCTTTTATTTACAGAAAACCAACAAGACTTTCTTTCTCTTTTTGTGTGTGTAAAAAACAACAACCATTACCAACATGACTGATAAGCCAAAACGTCCCCTCTCAGCCTACTTCTTGTGGTTAAACTCTGCCCGTGAACAAATCAAACGTGAAAATCCCGGCATTAAAGTAACCGAAATTGCCAAAAAGGGTGGTGAAATCTGGCGCTCAATGAAGGACAAATCTGTAAGTATTTGGAAATATTTGAAAAAAAAAAATAAATAAATAAAAAACAAGAACAGTTCTGAGAATATTTTTACTAAAACACAGTTTCCTTTACTTTTCTTTTTCACAGGAATGGGAAGCCAAAGCCGTCAAGGCCAAAGAGGAATACGAAGTTGCAATGCGTGAATTTGAGGCAAATGGTGGCTCAACAGCGGCGAATGGTGCTGGCAAGAAACGCGGCAAAGCCTCCAAGGCTCCAGCGAAACGAAGCAAGAAGGCTGAATCTGAGGAGGAGGATGAAAGCGAATAAATTTTGTAATTTAACTTTTTCTATTAAGTAAAAATACACACATACACACAAACAAAGAAAAAAACAAAACAACAACAGAAGCAGCAGCAGCCGTAACAAAGTCATTTCAAGAAAAAAGTAAATTATATTTACATTTTAAGTAAACTACAAATGGATGACAGACTCTCTTAAACTCCACCACCAACAGCAGCAGCCTAAATTTTATTTGTATTTATAACAAAACAAAAAAAAAAACAAATGTATTAAAAATGGAAAAATTTACTAAGAGTTTTGTTGTTGTTAATTGTAAAAAGATGCAAAAAACAAAATGACAAATTTCCTTTTTTTTAAATTAAAGAAAAACAAAAACTAAATGAAAATTGGCTCAACAACCTCCTTAACAATAACATCAACCACCCAACAAAACCATGTAACAAAATCTCTATTTTCTTTTTTTAATTACAAATTAATTTTAAGAAATTTACTCTTAGAAAACTACCAATTAATTACAAAATCCAACAACAAGCACCAGCAGCAAACTAAAAAAAAATATGAATGTTTGAAATGTTTTTAATGTAAATTGTTTTATTTTGGCTTTGAAAGAAGAATGCCAAAACACAAAAACGAAATGTGTTTTGTTGTCTGTGAAAAGCCAAATGTTGTTGCTGGAGATGATCTAAGAAATTAATTTTAATTTTAAAAGAAAAACAAAATATATACCCCCCAAAAAATCTGAAATATTTTTTTACTACTTTTTTTATTTTACTCCTATTTTTTTTTTATGGAAAATAATGGCATTTGATTTCATTGAATTACCTAAAAACGGGAATGAAAAAAGGGAAAAGGACGCGCAAGTTACATAGAAATATAAACACAAGACTGCTGCTTTGTTTTTTAAATAAAATTTATTAAATAAAAAAAACGTTTTTTGTATAGGAAAAAAACTAAAGAAAAAAGAAAATAATAAAAAGAATTAAACGAAAAACAAAGAAAGTTGTAAAACTCTTGTTGTTAAAACAAAACAAAAAACCTGTGCATTTATTTAAAAACAAAACAAAAAAATGAAAAACACAACAACACCGAAATATACATACATACAACACATGTAATTATTTCCATACAAAAAAATAATACTCGAAAGATTTTGTATAATTTTATTAGAATTCTTTTTTCTCCCTTGAAAAAGAAAAGCACGAGGAGAAGTATCTCCCAAAACAAAAATGTATTTTCTTTAATTTTTTTATTCAATATCTGCGCCATTGAAAATAGGCCCAGAAGATTACCTGCAGTAAATTCATTTAATTAATGTTTTGCCTACACTGTTTTGGTTGGTCTTCAACATTTTTTTTATATTTTACCATTCGACGACTACTTCTTTCTGCGAAAGTTTGTAATCTCTTTTTTTATTCATATATATTTTTATAAATTGTCTTTATCTCCTAGACCCCCACCCCCCTCAATGCATAAACAAAACAACAACAGTAAACACAAACACCCACAACTTTTCACACCACACACACTACAAATTGAAAATTGACAAAATTCATTTAGTCATTTAAAATGTAATGTATTAATAATAATAATTAATAAAAAAATAACTACTTAAAAGAAAAAGGAAAAAGAAAAAATTTATAAATTAAATAAAAATACAAAAAATTTGAAAAAATAACAAAATATGGATGTTTCCTTTGAAGGGTGATGGGGTTTTTGGTAAAGAAAAAAACAAGAAGTAATTATAGGGGGAAATCCAGCAGACTATGAAAGGTAGGGCTAAAAAATGGACATCACAAAGTAACCAAAATAAAAGAGGACAGGGTTCCCATTCTTCCACACTTTTAAGATTCCTTGGAATCCTTATATTTTAGATAAATATAGTTTCCTCACATACATTATAAAATATCGAAATTTCCAAAAAATAAAATGTATTTTACTGCACAGAAATAGAAAGGACAATCCGGTTTTTATACAACTTTGAAAAACAGATATAGGCCCCCTTTATAACGGAACCTTTAAATTATAGTGCCTTTGAGGGTAATCGATTAGGTCATAAGTCAAGTTTTCACATGACCCGGAAATCTATGACACCGTTTCTCTATATTATAGACCTCTAATAAAGAGGCTTCTTTTCGACGACGTTCTTTTGTGTGATATCCATAAGGTAGGGGGTAGTCGATTTGGTCATAGTAATTCAAGTTTTCACATGACCCGGAAATCTCTGAAACGGTCTTCTATATTGGAGACCTCTAATAAAGAGACTTCTGTTCGGGGACCATCTTTTGTGGGGTCTCATAACTCACTTTGCACTTTTTTGAAAATATTTTTTACACCCTCAGCCATATGGCTACAGAAGCTATATATCATTTGATGCGTCCAAAACGTGCGTCATCGTAATAACGGTTTTAGACCCTAGGTCTCTTTGGACCAAGTCCGTTTCAGGACATTTGGAGTCAATCTAGCGATATCCCTGTTTGTCTGGCTGGTGCGCACGATAAGTATCGAAGGCAGTATCCGAGTTGACCCAAACATCGTGGTACATCGTAATATTATTGTCAAACTTAGATCGAGTTCGGAGATGGACAATATCGGTCTACTCCTTCTAGTACCTCCCCCACAAAGGGTGAACATTTTGAGTATCCATATGAACCTCCGATTCCATTCAGACTTGACATAGCTCAATATTTTTATCAGCACAACATCTGTTATAAAGATGGTACAGATCGGATCATATCTTCTGGTACCTCCCACACAAAGTGTCAACATTTTGAATAACCAAAACGATTATAAAATCTGGTTCTCTTCAAATTTCACACATGCCATTATTTTTACTAACCCAAGGTCTGGTGTGAAGATGAAATATATGGGTCCACTCCTTCTGGAACCTCCCCCACAAAGGATGAACATTTTGCATATATCCGTGAAGCTCATAAAACCCTATATTAACATACGATACCACTCAAGACTTGGCACATCTCAATATTTCTATTAGCACAAGATATGTTATAAAGGTAGTAGAGATCAGGCCATTTCTTATGGTACCTCCCACACAAAGGGTCAACATTTGGAATAACCAAAACGATCATAAAATTAGAAGAAAGCATACGGGTCTCTTCAAATTTCACACATGCCATTATTTTTACTAATACAAGATCTGCTGTGAAGATGGGAAATATCTGTACCTTCTGGTACCTCCCCCACAAGGGGTTTACATTTTTGAAAAACAAAACGAGAAATAAGCATCCAACTCTCTTCAAATTGCACACATACAAACAGTTTTGCTAACGTCACGTGGAACCGTCACAATTCCTGGCAAAGCGCTTGCTTGAGGTGATCGACACTTGGCTATTTTTTAGTGTCAATCTTGCTTTCCAAAATACTCCAGACACAATAGTCCAACGGATTGGTATCCGGAGATTTTGAGGCGGTCATTGTGCGCTGGAAATGAAGCAAGGAACCTCATGGTGCGTGCTGACTGCGATGGTGCTGAGTCCTGTTGCAATGTCCAAGGTTTGCGGCCAAAATATTTGCGTGCCCAAGGCTTTAATATAGCCTTCAGAATTTTTTTTGGTGATAATATTTGGTATTTATTCTGATGTCATCGGCTGTCATGTTGGCCCACACCATCACCATGGCCGGCGCTTGAGTTCTGGTGGCCAACCGAAGGTGCACATTTTCACCTGCCCCCTTTTGCAAGTAAACACGATTATTTTGTTTGTTTACAAACTGCTGGACAATGAAAGTTTTCTCATCGGAGAACATCAAATTCGGCATTTCACCACTTTCGGCCAAGCGAAGCAACTCTTTAGCTCTTTTAAGTCCACTTTTCTTTCTGTTGCAGTGTAAGTTCTTGCACTTTTTGGGAATTTCAATGGCTTTACCCCTAGCTCATTTTACAATATTTGCCGAATGGAATATTGCGATAGGTTTAGCTCACGAGCCATTTTTCGGCTCGACTGTGACGCGGGTTTCGATCAAGTCGCTTCTTTACTCTTCGAACCATTTCTGCTGATGTCGCTGTTTTCTTCCGTCCATTTCCTTGATGTCGGGCTATGCTACCAGTATCGCACGGTAACGAGCGATGGTAGGACACACAAAAGATTTATTCACATTTAAATGCTTGGAGTTCTCTAAAGATAGCCACTTGTGGTTTTCCAGCCAAATATAAAGAAATCACACTATCACGCTTGAATTCCATCACGAGTGACCTTTTTTATTCTGGAAAATTCACATCAAAATGCTTTTGTACGCTTGTACACAATATAATAAGCTGTCACTGGAATAATTTTAACAGCTGTCGGATGAGGGACTTAGAAATGACAGCAGTCTGAATTTGGTTGCAGTTTTTTTCATCTCACTCTGTATTTCTTTCATAACTTGTGAAACATGTTGGCGATTCTTTACAACCTGCATCTACATCTAAAGGTTGGTCTCTTAGCCAGAAATCTGATATGAATATGCAATTTATCGGAATATATGATTTCGCATAAAATTGGATATATTCGATTTCCTTCAAATTTTGCCCACACCAATATTTTTATCTTTATTAGATGAAGTATGAAAACGGGATACTTCGGTACGCTGTTTTTCCACATTTAAAAAAAAAAATCGAGATTTTTTTTAAAAAAAAATTTTTTTAAAATCTAAAAATTTAATTTTGATTTATTTTTATAAAAAAATTATTTAAAAATCTGGGATTTTGCCTGACGATTTTGCAACAACAAAAATCTAAAAATTTAATTTTGATTTATTTTTATAAAAAAATTTTTTTAAAAATTTAAAAATTCAAAAAAATTGCACATATCTCATATAAAGTGTACAGGTAGTAGTCGATATAGTCTAAATTTGTCATGTTGTAATATTTATATCAGTCTTAGTTCAGTTACAAATTGGTCAACTCCTTCAGAATCTCCCCCATAAAGGGTCAACAGTTTGAATAATCATAACTCAAGGCTGGGGGGGGGGGGTATACATCTGTTGGCAAAACCGACTGATACTATTTAACTTGTTCCATACTAAAATCTATAAAGATTACCTATCCAATGTAAGTCCGTCCTAGGTCCTTAGGCCCGCCCTCCTCCGCTTGCCAAATTAAAAGTCATTTCTTTTTTTATATTTTAATGGTGGTTCTATTTTGTGGATGTTTGTTTGTTTGTTTGTTTTGTAATTGTACCATTTTGTCTGGTTGATTTTGGACAAAATAATTTATTTTTAAATTATTTTCTTTTTAGTTTTTGTTTTGTTAAATTAATTTACAAAGTTTCTTAGGTAGTAAATATAATATTAATAATAATAATAAATTTCATAATAACTTGTTTATGTTTTTTTTTTATTTAAACTAAACACTATTTAAAAACTTATTTTGTTTTATTTGTATGTTCTATTTAATATTGGATTTAAAAAAATTGGTTTTGCTTAAAAAACACAGACGAAAAACGAAAATTCAAATTAGATTCTTGTGGGATGGCAGGAAAGTAAGTATAGATAAGAAATATATATAAATTACCAAAAGCAGAATGGGGAAGGGGATTTATTTTGGTACAAATTAAGGAAAACTGAGGAAATCAAAAAAAAAAAAAATAAGTTACAATTCGATTTGGATTGGTTTGGATGGTGTTTCACACATTTTATTCTTTTTGTTTTTTTTTTCTTGGTGAACTAATACTAGGTAGCCTTTCTTGTTTAAAACAGAGTAATAAGAACTATATTATATAAACATTATTGAATTAAACAAAATTTGCTTATAACATTCCAAAAAAAAAAAAAAAATGATATCCTTGTGTCTCACTCATTTCTACAAACAATTGGAAAAAAAAAATGCAAACAAAAATAAATGTAATTTTTAAAATAGTTTATCTTTTTGTTTTTTAATAATTATAACAACATGCCCATTGAATCCGTATAAATGTGACGATCACACAATGTAATAAATGTATTTTTTCTGTTTTCTTTCATCCAAAATGTGGGGGGGAGGGGTGCAGCAACTAGTTTTATATTTGTTTGTTTGTTTTTGTAGTATAAGAGATTATATATTTTATAAAGTCTCACAGGCACCGGCACCTTGCATATAAACTGACCATATTGGAGCTTTCATCATATCATCATGTCATACCAATGTCGTTCGTCCTTCTTAACGCCATTATGCAGTTGAATTTGGGAGGTGCCTTGACCAGAGCACCCTGCGTTTTTTTTTTTTTTTTTTTTGTTGAGTGTTTATGTTTTACTTTTAGTTTTAGTGTTTCTTCTTCGTTTCTTGCCCTTCAATTACACCTTAACCTTCTTGACATTATCTTCTTTGATTCTTTCCTTCCTTCCTTCCTCCCTCTCTGCCGTTTCGCTTCACTTAATTACGATTTATCCACATAATGGCCTTAAGTACAAAATATGCCAGTCCAAGACAATAGACAATTTTCTCCCGCTGTAAACGTTGTTCGTTGCTGATTTCAATATTCAATACCCGGCGATTTAGTTTGGCCAATTGACGTCGCAAATACAATATCTCTTCGTGGGGTGTTAGATCACCAATGGGTGTGCCCTCGCGATGGCTAATCATGGAAGTGTCATTGGGATTGTAGAGAACAGTCTGGGAACGTTTGCTGGCGCCACCTGTTGTCAGCTGTTAAAGACAAGAAAGAAAAAAAATAGAAAATTAGAAAAAAATAGAAAAAAAAAACATTCAGAGAGATGCAAAAATTTTGGAATAGATACCATAATTTGTTTGGGCACCATATTTTTTTTTTTATTTTTGAAATTATTCACAAGAAATATATATAGATGCGTGTGTGTGTATTTTGAATGCACGCCTTGCAAGTTGTTTAGAAAATATGTGTTTTTTTCTGTCCTTTGCTTTTTGCAAAATGCCAGGGGGAAATGCAATAGAAATTTTCTTTTGGCAAGCTATCAAAAATGTCTATCAAAAGTTGTTTTTTTTTTATTTTGAAAAGGAAAAAAAATGAAATTTTGAACAAGTCAAATTGAATCAGTCCGGTTTGCCGAGAGATGTATACCCCCAGCCCTGAGTTATGATTATACAAACTGTTGAGCCTTTATGGGGGAGATTCTGAAGGAGCTGGGCAATTCGTATCTGATCTAAGACTGATATAAATATTACAAAGAGACAGATTTGGACTCGGATGGAATCGAATGTTATTTTCATGTTTTATGAGCTTCATGAATAATCAAAATGTTGACACTTTGTGGGGGGAGGTACCAGAAGGAGTGCATCGATATATTTCATCTTCACACCAGACCTTGGATTAATAAAAATATTGTGATGTGTGTAATTTGAAGCAATCGGACACTTACATCACATTTTACAAGAGTTGTAATTATTTCAAATTTTGACCTTTCGTGGGGAAGGTACTTGATGGAGTGGACCGATATTATCCATTTTCACACCTGACCTAGCACTGATGCAAATATTAGAATTCGCAAAGTTTAAGCAAAATTGGATTATCCTTTCTCTTTCTGTGCAGTAAATTATTTTCTTTGTTGACATTTTGTGGGGGAGGTACTAGAAGGAGTGGACCGATATTGTCCCTCTCCGAACTCGATCTAAGTTTGATGATAATATTACGATCACATTTTATAAGAGTCATATTTATTCCAAATTTTGACCCTTTGTGGGGAAGGTACTTGATGGAGTGGACCGATATTGTCCATTTTCACACCTGACTTAGCACTGATTCAAATATTAGGATATGCAAAGTTTGGAGCAAAATCAGGGTATCCTCTCTCTTTCTGTGCAGTAAATTGTGCAGAAGGAGTGGACCGATATTGTCCATCTCCGAACTCGTTCTGAGTTTAATGCTAATATTACGATGTACCAAGTTTGAATCAAATCGGATACTCCCATCGAGATGGACGGACGGACATCGTTAGATAGACTCCAAATAGATGAGCACGTTTTGGCCGTATCAGATGATATATACCCTCTGCATATGGCCAGGCTGAGGGTCTACAAAAAATTTCAAAAAGGTGCAAAGTGGGCTATGAGACCCCAACCTCATGGATATCACACCAATGATCGTCCCAGAAGTCTCTTTATGAGAGGTCTCCAATATAGAAGACCGTATCAGGGATTTCCGATTCATGTGGAAACTTGACTTATGACCAAATCGACTTATGATCGAAGACCTCAAAACATACCAAAAATGGTGAGGCCATTCTAAATGGTAAGGCCATTTACCGAAAAATTGGACCTCTGTTGAAAATTTTTTGCGAAAGCTTAAATTACCCACTGGGAACTCGAAATACCGAATTATGGCTTATTTGATTAGATATTGAGGCATAGACCTCCAAAATACTGAAAAATCTGGAGGTACATTTATGTGGGAGCTACGCATAAAAGTGGACCAATATTTAAGATTTTTTTGCGAGGGGTTAAATGACCCATTGAACAATCAGTTGCTGGAAATTGAGGTCGAAACCTCTAACATTCAGAAAAGCAGGAGGGAACCTTTTAAAGGGGGCTATACCACAAAGTGGACCTACGGGGCATATTTTTTGGGAGCTTTACCGAAAAATTGTACCTCTGTTGAATATTTTTTGCGAGAGCTTAACTTACCCACTGGGAACTCGAAATACCGAATTATGGCTTATTTGATTAGATATTGAGGCATAGACCATCCAAAATACTGAAAAATCTGGAGGTACATTTATGTGGGGGCTACGCCTAAAAGTGGACCAATATTTAAGATTTTTTGCGAGGGGTTAAATGACCCATTGATCAGTCAGTTGTTGGAAATTGAGGTTGAAACCTCTAACATTTAGAAAAGCAGGAGGGAACCTTTTAAAGGGGGCTATACCACAAAGTGGACCTACGGGGCATATTTTTTTGAAAGGAGTTAATGCAGCCACCAGCCGCGCAAAATGCCGAAAATCCAAAAGCACCGTTTAATGTGGGTTATACCCAATCATCGACCGATAGCTTCCATTATCTGTACTAAACGTCTTAGGAAACATAACAATGTCTGATCAAAATTTCAAAAAAGCTATCTTTAATAGGGCAAGCTCTATCATACTTTAAACAGATGGACAAACAGACATGGCTAAATCGCCATAGGGTTGGACGTCCATTCTGTATACTATAGAGGCTCTTCGATGACTATTTCGACCATAGAATTGCCTTGCTTCAGAGTTCTTTTATGAATATCCTTAAAAGAGTTCAAATAAGGCCTCTTGCCTTGCTTCAGAGTTCTTTTATGCATCCCTTTAAAAGAGTTAAAATAAGGCCTCTCAAAATAGTCTACTTGATCAAAGAAACCTCCCCCTGCCCTCTACATTACAAATAGACTGTTAAATAAGTCCATATCAACAATTTCCAAATCAATGCTCTTATCTAAAGAAAAAAAAAAAGAAAACACTAATAAAACATTAGTTAATAACTTCTGCCCCTAAAGTATTTTTTGCTTATCATTTTTTTGTCTTCCTAACTAATACAGGCGATTAGAGTGAGCGTATAGGGTCACATGTAACTCACATAAAACAATACCAAACAATTAACAATTCCATCCACCTCACCTGAGAATCAGATTCCACCGAATTAGAATCGTTCGGATGAAAACCCACAACCGCATGTGACATACCATTTGCCCTCACATACGGCGGTGGACGTTCAACGTCGTCATCGAAATCATCATCCAAATCGTCACCGTTCATTAGGAGCTTTTTTGGTGAACTCTCCTCGGACGCCGATGGAAAGTGATGTTCGTTTAGGGTTATGGTACGCGGTGGCGTTTGGACACGTACAAATTCGGACGTGTTTTTGGGTAATATCTCATTTTCCAATTGTATTTCACGCGGGGCTGATCTTGTCTCCAAGTGCTGATTGTGTCCGAGCACAACAATACGATCCGGTACATTCATATCGATTTTATCATGATAATTCCAGGAATTGATCATACCGTTTTGATTGGATAATAAACGATCCTCGTCAGAGTATTCACCGGTGGCCTTTATGCGTTTGGGTACACGCATTTTATCGGTGATTTCGTGGGCATATTCGCTATAGATGTCATCGTCCAGTCCGTTGAACATGCGAGTAGGTGATTGGGGAGTTACCATTGTTCCTTTGTGTGTTTTGTTATTTCGAGCTAGGTTTCGTTTGTTGTTGGTTTGTACAAATATCTGCGTGTGTGTGTTTGTGTGTGCAATTCTTTGGTTATAAAACAAAATCCGTACGTTGGCGGCCCTTTGCCTCTTGCTTCTTTTTTCACTTTGTTCTATGTCTCCTTCGTCTTCTTCTTGTTGTTGCTGCTTTTGTTCGTTTCTAAACAGGATGATTTGTTAAATACCAATACACACATAATTATACGCACAAAAGAAGAAGTTTTGTTAAGGTAATGCAGTGGCGTTGATGTATATTAATCCAAACCACAAATGGATAGTTGAGTGGCCCCCGTCGTTGTCGTATTGGTTGGTGCCAAAAATAAAGAAAAGAACAAACGCAGAAATTTTTATATAGAACAAGGAAATTTTGCTTCAATTTTTTTCGAGAATACCCACAAACTAAACGTGTTACGTCAAATGTGTGTGGGGGTATTTTAATTTAATATTTTTGTTTTTATTTGTTCTTTTTCTACTTACATTCTTTGCACACTTTCTCGGCAATTATATTATTTCTATAATTTTTTTACATAAAAAAAGTTAAAGACCGATTTTTTCACCAATGCAGCTGTCATTGGGTATTTACTTTACACACCACTCGCCTTTTTTCACCACAAGTGTATCAATTGTGCAAGGGTTCTAAAGACCGATTCTTATTGGGCGATGAATTAGCGCCAAGCAAACTAAACTGGGTAGAAGTGGAAAAAGAAATGAAATAAGTATATCATTTGACATATATTTGACTTTTAAGCCTTCCTACGGCTTTTTGACATATCAAATCATTAATTTAATCTAGGGATCTATAGATCGACTTTTAACTTTAGCAAAATAAAAATCAACTCAAAAAATCGTCAATACCATGGTACAATAAAAGGGTAAGGTAGAGCTCCCAGCTGATTACAATTGTTTTTGAAGTGTGCCCGAATCAAAACAAAATATTTTCAAAATCAATGATTGGAAGAAACAAAAAATACCAAATAAATGAAAACAACTTGTTGCCTATAATTTTGAATAATTCTGACAGGAAGCGGGCATAGCATCAGGGCTGTATTTCTGTAGTTTTACGAAGCTGTTATTTTACGAAGCTGTTATACCATGGTTCGTATTAGCAAATAGAGTAAAGAACGTTCACACATAAAATCACTACTGACAGTTGGCATAATTCACCAGCATTCACCAATACCCTCCACAATACTTTGGAGAGTATATTAACTTTGTCATTCCGTTTGTAACTCTTCGAAATACTCATATTAGACTTAACAAAGTATATATATATATTCTTGATCGGCGTAAAGTTCTAAGTCGATTTAGCGATGTCCCACACTGTTTTTCGAACGAAATGAGATAGAAGGCTAAGTTCGTATATGCACCATGTAGGTCCACGTTTTCACGTAGTCCCCATATGACAGTACCTCCCAATATTGTTAAGAGTAATAAAATAGATTATAGCAGAACCAAAGCTTTGAACCATTTTATATTTTAAAATGCCGCCACAAGTGGGCGGACTTGTCGATACTAAACGTTCCCCCGGTGGTTTTTGTTTTATCGGAAATATTAAACTTGTTAACGATTCAATCCGCGCATTAAGTTTATACCTTTACACCAGTGATGAACACTTATCTATGTTGCGGCTTAAAAATACATGACTTTTCTGACTTGGAAGGTAATGCTATTGAAGCCACGAAAAAAGTTTTTTAGTTTTTTTTTTTTCCAGCCACCGACAACTCTAAGAGCGTATTTTTGCTTTATTTTTGTAGCAATGAAAAATAGTAAAACATGCTGCCAAAATAATAAAAACACAAAAAGGAACACTATTCTCGTATGATTGCCAGCTTCTTATTGACTGACATGTTTGCAATTAATTTTTGACATGTTTTATTTATTTTTCGAATTTTTCGGTCATTTTTTTTCATAGAGAATTTTTCATTTCTCTCTTTTTAATACAGAGATTCTCATTTTGACAGATAAATACATCTTTTATCTTGTAAACACAAGAATACAAGTATAACTGTTCCTTTACGTTCCAAATTGTAACTTATTGAGTCTCAAACTGTCACAGGGATATTTAAAATGTCAAATCATATTATTAAATAAATCGTGCAACAAAAAACAACCAACATATTATTGGCGGTTCATGAAAAATACCTCCTCATAATGCAATTCAATGTGTTGCCATATCCCTTCATTCCCTTGCATATTATCATGCAACAAAAGTCACGCGTGTCAAACGCATCTGTACAGTTATCGTTAACGATAAATTCCTATCGCCGCTTGTAATTTCGCATCAGCCTTGACAAATGCAGGCGTCACTTTCAAGAGAACAAACTTAATTTGTCGGTGTAAATTAGTGGCTTGACAAAAATAACAAATAAATATATAAATATTTATGAAAATATAAGTAAACTAATAAAAGTGCGTGTGTGCATATGAAACAGAATAAAAGAAATTGAAAGTGAGTGTAAATAATGAGATGAAAAGAGAAATTTCACCGTTTTTGTTGTAAAGTGGTGTGAGAAGAGGATGGTACAGTCTACCAGAGCACGAAGCCGATCGGCTCGCAGTCGGCGTGCAGCCGCCGCCGACTTTTTTTAAGTGATCTGAGCCGCCGCTGATGTATGCGGCTCTCATCGGCTCAAATTTTTAGCCGACTGAGTCGGCTAAGCCGTTGAAAAATATAAATTTATACAGCAAATTTGTATAAATATGTCTTTTAATCTTATCGATAAATTAACATATTATAATGCTCATTATTGGACGATAATTTACATTGTGCACTCGTCTTCGAGAGGCAAAAACGTGTAGGCTATTTATATTAATTATACCCTACACCACATAGTGGTAAGGGTATTATGACTTTGTAGATTTGTTTTTTTATCACAAAACCTTTGGCAACCTTTTGTAACTTACGAATTTTGATGGAGTGGCAACCATATTGTTTGCCAAAGATTCGTTGTGTTTTTGCTTGTTCAAAGAAAAGAATGCAAAATGTGCCAAAGGAATATTAAAAATTATTTTTCCGCTAACCGAAAGGGTCAAACAGTTTTGACTAAATCAGAATCCGATTCTGACGAATCTGTTGATACTGAAATCAATATTTCTCCATATGCAGATGTATCTCAATATGAAGATCTTTTTAAAAAGAAAAATGAATTTAAAAATTTGGCAAAGGTTGTTGTAAATGAAGGTGGTATATCAATGTGTTGGAAATATTTTGGTGATCTCTATTTTAAAAAGAGGCATATACTTCAAAAATATAAATTTTGCAAATTGTGTTTGGATGAAAAGACCAATTTAAAAAGGTAAGAATTTCTAATTTTTTCCATTCGCATGTGTGTAAATGTTTATGATTTTAGTTTTGGAAAATCAACATCAACCACAAATTATATGAACCATCTACGAGCTGTACATAACTTGGACGTGAAATCTTTAAATAACCTGAAAAGTTCAACAATGACACAAAATGCATTGAAATCCTCAACAAGTTGTAACAACAAACAACAAAATGCTCGCCGGGTCGCCGAAATGTGCTGTTGGGATTTGCAACCGTTTAAAATTGTTGAAAGGCCAGGATTTAAGAAATTGGTATCTTTCTTAAACCCAAAGGCTATATTCCCCACAGATAGGACAATAGCTACGACGGCTTTAAACGATGTTTATAACATATATTTGGACCACGTAAAAACAAGCCTTAAAGAGTCGCCCAAAAATGTTACACTTGTATTGGATATGTGGTCAGATAAACATAAGCACTTGTCTTACATAAACATAAAAGTTCATTTCTGCCAAAAATTTTCAAATGCAAATTGTAACGCTCAAGACAGAGATCTTTCCACGACCTCACACTGGACTAGCAGTTGTAGAAAAAATTGAAGAAGCTTTATGTGAATTTAATCTGTTGGAAAAAAACATATGTGCTGTTACTGATGGTGGAAGCAACATCGTTTCAGCTTTAAAAATTAAAAATATACCAAGATATGGTTGTATGGCTCATGTTTTACACAGATTTTTGATGGAAGATATACTAAACAACAAGTCATTTGAAAATATTAATAACATAATATCAAAATTAAAAAAAATTTATAGCAGCTTAATGTATAGCTATGAAGAAATATCAAATATTCAAAATATGGAGGAACAAAACGATTTAGAAAAAATATTTACAGAGGTTGAAATAATTTTGGAGAGTTTGGATAGTTGCGAACAATTTCCACATGGAGATGACTATTTTACTGAACAATATGAAGCAACTTTAAACGTCAAGCACCACACCTCTTTGAAAAATTCCGTTGCAACACGTTGGAACTCTCTGCTTGCAATGATTCAAAGCTATACGAATAATATATCCACTATAAATGTAGCATTAGTTAAAGCTAAAAAGGAACTGTTAGTGATTGGGACAATGGAAAAGCAAATTATAACGGAATTTGGCACGTTTTTAAAAATTTTTGAGGACGCCACAAAACACCTTCAAGGCCAAGATTATCCGACGATATCTTCGTGTATTTATTTTCAGGAATCCATTATGTCCTCAATGAAGAATGAAGAAGAAAAAGCGTCTTTTGAACTAACAATCAATTTATGCAATTTCGCTGTGCAAAACTTCACGAAGCGATTCAAAGTATATAGAATGTATGTTGTAGCTGCGCTTATGGACCCATGCCAAAAAAACTGGCCTGTTTTAGATAAATATATACTACAGATACCCAAACAATCGCCAAACTCCTTGGAACTTGTGCATGATGTTCTGTCTCCAATTTCCAAGGAGAACTTGATTATGGAAGAAATTGAAAAATTAAAGGAAATCGATGACACATTATTAAATGAGCCATCAACGAGCACTGAACCAAATGCAAAAAAACAGGTATTATGTTTTAATAAATGTAAAGGTAAACTTAACTGACGTATATTTTACTTGCAGAAAATATCAGCTAGTCGTCAAAGAATGTTGGAATTTATGGGACCATCGCCTTCTAATGTACAAAATAACGTAGAGTTAGAAATAAGAAAATATTTGGAAATGAAAGTCGAGGCGGTCGAGCCTCTAGATTGGTGGCGACAGAACAAACAAGTACGTTAAAGATTCACATCTTAAACTTGTTTTAAGCAGGTTACGTTTTGACCATTTACTTTTTATAGATCTTTCCAAATGTTGCTACTGTAGCAAATATGTGCTTTGGAATTCCAGCCACATCAGCATCTTCAGAGCAAGCATTTTCATATGCCGGGAATTGTGTAAATGCTAAGAGAAGCAACCTGCATCCGGCAACAGTAAAGAAACAATTGTTTGTTCACGATAACAAGGCGGTCGTCGAACCATTTTTATCAAATTAAAGTATTTTTATTATAATTTTTAATGTGCTATAAGCAACAAATGTGCATATAAATTTATATTTTCATTTTTATTTTAAATTAAATGAATTGACAGTTGTTAAAACAACCGAAATTATTTGTTCACGTTAAAGTCGTCGGCTGTAGCCGACTTTTAGCCGCCGCCGGCCGTATATTGCTTTAGCCGCCGCCGCCGATTTTCTTTCGGCTGCAGTCGACTTTTAGCCGCCGCCGACTTTTTTATGCTTAGCCGCCGCCGCCGAGAATTTCACATCGGCTTCGCCCTCTGCAGTCTACTGTGTTGGGCGGGAAAAAAATCATAAATATAAGGCAGCAGCCAGAGCTATTTTGCCGACAAGTTTTTTCACATAACACAAAAAAAAACTAAAAATAATTTCCATTTATTTATAGATAAGGAGAGAAAAAGCGAAAAAAATCTGAAATTTAAGAATTTTAAGGAGAATTACATGCAAAATTAACAAAAATGGAGTCGCGACGTTTAACACGAGGACGAGGACCTAAGGTCCCAGAGACTGCTGCTGCAACATCTACAAGATCCCGAGCAGCCCCAGCAGCAGCTGCGCCAGCAACAACAGCCACCGCCACAGTGGGGGGTCGCCGTAAGGCGGCTGCCAGTGTCGAAACATTGACAGATATTACGGCCAACAGAAGAGTAACCCGAACATCACCATCACGTGTAACCCGTACATCACCATCCAGACGTAGCGCACGCATCTCACCGGCCCGTTCATCTAGACCGCGTTCAACGATACCCACAGTAACTGTTATACCCGTTACCGTTGAGCCACGAACAGAAAGGACAGCCAACAAGGAAAAGGAGGTGAGTTCCTAGACAAGATAGTAATTTTCTAATGTAAAGTTCAATCTAATTTATGTGTAGAAACAAGTTAGCATTTCTTTTGGCATCTTGTGTTGTGGTCGGATGCAAGTAGAGGTGGGGGAAACAAGTTTATGTGCGAATTATTTATCGTAGTGCTGTTATTGTGTTGCTGGCTGTATATGACCGCATTCTTGTTGTAACACTTGACAGTGATAAGCTTCTTTACAAATACAACAACAATAATAATAATTGTTCTGGATGATTGAAGAAACATGTGTAAAGCGACGTATCTTTGGTTGTTGTTGTGTTGTTATGTACCTATTTAATATATTTCGTTTATCTGTTTGTTTACATTGTGGCAGCATAAAGAGATAACCATAACAACAAAAATATTGATGCTCGTTATCACGTTTTACACTGGGAATAGAGATATGAATCCGAGATTTAATGGGATGTCATAGAAATTTTATTTTGAAGATCTTTTCGTAGAAGAATTATTAATGATTTTTGTAATTATTTTTTATAGATAAGCTTCCGAAAGACTTCTTCATAAAATCTATAGGATATACGATAGAAGCTCTCTTCCAAAGCAGATATGTTTTATAGTGTAGAAATTCTTCTATAGGATAAAAAATCTCAGTGTGTTCTGGAGCTCTTCATTGATTAGAAGATTTTCGGAAGCACTTTTAAACTCTTCGATATATAGGGGAATACCTTCTGAAGGATATAACACTTCCCAAAGTTCTATAAGATAGGATACGTTCCAAAGCACTCCTGAAGATGTAATTTTCAATATTTTATACCCAATAAGGTATGAAGTTCTTCAAATGGAAAACAATTTTCTAAAGATCTTCCCGAAAAAATATCTCCTTAAGGAAGATATTCATATTTTCTATAGATTATTCTGAAGTTTTTTCGTTAGACGACCTTCTGAAGCTTTTGCAATATTCACTTCCAGGCAAATCTACCTCACACCAATTTGCCTTATCTTCCGAAGTTCTTCTGTAGGATAAACCATTTTCTAAAGCTCTTTCCGACAAAAAAAGAAGACCCTCTTTAGCTTTTATGTACACTCAAAGATCTTCTAATTATCTTCTATAGATTATTCTGAAGTTCTTTCTAGATTACAAAATGTTCAGGAACCTTCCGGAAGCTCTTTTTCCCAATCTTCTCAATATTTCATTTCTATTGTCTTATATCCAATACTAATTATCTATAACTTCTCTTCCAGGCAAACCTGTCACACACCAATTTGCCTGCAACACTTACCACAAATACCGCAACAAAGGCTCCGAATCGTGCAACAACTACAACAACATCATCGGTACAAAGTACCTATCAAAGTTCAACAACAATACAAACTGTTGAGATACGAACATCCAGCGGTGAACAATCATCGGATATAGCAAAATTAACCGATTATCTGAGACGTTCCGTATCGAAGACCTTCTCTTTAGGCGGCGGCGGTGGCGGCGATGATGGCGAGGAACGACGTGAAGGCTCATACACACCCAGCCAGCGTACAGATGCCGAAAGTCGTTTCAGTCGCTCTGTATCACGTTCCGTTTACGATGGTGAAGGTGGTGGACGCTATTCAAAGGCTGCAGAATTTTCAGATGCAGAAACAAATGAACACGAAGATGTTATCCATGAGGAGGATGAAGGTTCTGCTGCTGCTGGCTATGGCTATGAAGAAGAGGACAATTTCAAGAGTTTTAGTGCCAACAATGCTGCTGCACGAAAATCTGGCTCATTTTGTCGTAAATTGCCAATACCCAGTGAATTTGGTGGGTGGTTTGGTGCAAGCTTGCTCATGCTGCTGACTCCCCTTGTGGTGTACTACTTACAATGGACCTGCAGCGATCGTAAATGTGAATTTAAAATACCAGATTATAATGCCATATTGGATACCAATAGTTGGTTGGCAAAAATATTCCACATTGAAGCTGTGGGTGTGTTTTTGGCCTTTTGTTTTGGTATATTCATATTATCGGCCGTGCTCTTTGGCCGAGGTGTGCGTTTACCCGGTGCATTGGAATATAAATTTAATCTCTTGCCCATCACTGCTGTCCTGAGCGTGGCCTATGCCATTGCCGTGTATTTTGGCTATCCTGTGGCTGATTTTATTATCAAGAATTTCCAACGTTTTAGCATCTATAGTCTGTTGAATGCATACGTATTGGCGCTATGGGCATATTACCGTTCGGATTTGTTAAAACAACAGGATTCCCAGTGCAATATTTATGCTAAATCGGGAAATTTCTTGATTGACTATGCTTTGGGCAAACAGCTAAATCCCAAATGGTTGGGTTTGGTTGATTTCAAATTGGTTTTCTATCGCATTTCCTTGGTGAGCTCTTACCTGTATGTGGTATCGTTGCTGTACAAGAATATTCAAACTCCCTGGTTGCCCAAGGAGGTGGAAGGAGGCGTTGAGATGATTTCATATTTTTTGAAAAATACCAAATTTGACACAACCTCCCTGTTGTGTAGTGGTTTGCTGTTGCTGTATGTTTTGGATTCGATTGTGTTTGAACATCATTTGGCCTCGTCGTTCGAGTTGCAGGGTGAAGGATTTGGTTGTCTTTTGCTCTTGCGTTATGCCGCCACCCCAATGCTTGTGACCTCAGTGGCTAAGTATTTTTCGGAAAATCGTACACCCTTGAAATGTGATTTCGCCATTTATATACCCATTGCCTTGTTACTTCTCGGCTTGGCATTGAAACGTTTTAGCAATGCCATTAAATACAAATATCGCGTGCAGCCTAATCATCCACATTTCCAGAATGTCGAAACCATACACACCTTCCAGGGCAGACGTTTGTTGCTCGGCTCACTGTGGGGTCGTTTGCGTCAACCCAACTACTTGGGTGATATTTTGTGTTTGATCGCCCTGGCCCTTCCGCTGGCCATGAATTTTGTTTGGCCACCGCTGGTCAGTTTATTATTGATTGTCGCAATCTTGGTGCATCGCTGTTTCCGTGTCAATGCCCGCAATTCGTCACGTTACCACTCGTCATGGGTACGTTATCGTAGCATAGCTCGGAATTATTTAATACCTAAAATATTTTAAAGCGACAAGGATGCATGAAAATCTTCTTCCATGAAGAACATAATTGTGGACAAATTTTTAGTTTATATAGGGAGGCATGTTGCTAAATCCATGAATATTTTTTTTTTTTGAAAACCGATATTTGACCAAGATTTGTTATTTTTAATAAGAACTTTTTTTGGAAAGTACTTTTTTTAATACTACATTAAGTTTTGGATGTTATGTGATGGCTATGTTGGGGAGGGGTAGTAAAAAATGAGGGATCTTATTTAAAAAAAAGTAATATTTAGAAAATTTAGAAGAAATTTTTGAAAAATAAAAAAAATTAAGAAAATTCCCAAAAATTAAAAATAATTAAAAAACAATTAAAAATGATGAAAAAAATTAAAAATATATTTTTTTAAATTTTAAAATAATTTTAAAAATTTGAATTATTGATAAAAAAAAAACAAATTTATAAATAATTTTTAATTAAAAAATATTTTTTTAATGTACTAAAATAATTAAAAATTATTTTAGAAATTAAAAATTATTTAAATTTTTTCTGAATTTTTACAAACTATCTTAAAGAGTTTTTACTTTTTAAAAAAATTTAAAAAATGCTAAAAATTTATTTTAGTTTTAAAAAATTATTTAATTTTTTTTTTTTGAAATTATTTCAAAATTTTAAATATTTTCAAACTGTTTGCAAAATATTTGAATATTATATAAATGTTTGGGCCTAGTTTGTTACACCATATAGGACTTATTTGAAATTATATATATACAAAAAAAAACTAAAAATAATTTTTAGAAAATTTAGAATTAATTTAAAAAAAAGAAAAGCCCCAAAAATTAGAATTAAAAAAATTAAAATTATTTTTTTTTAATTTTAAAATAATTTAAAAAATTTTAAAATACGCATTATTGACAAGTATTAAAAATAATTTTTAATTAAAAATTTATTTTTTTTAATAATTTTTAATTAAAAACGATAATTTTTTTAATCATTTTTAATTAAAAAGTTAATTTTTTTAAATCATTTTTAATTAAAAAATTAATTTTAATAATTTTTAATTAAAAAGTTAATTTTTTAATAATTTTTAATTAAAAAGTTAATTTTTTAATCATTTTAAATTAAAAAGTTATCTTTTTTTAATAATTTTTATTAAAAAGTTAATTTTTAATTAAAATAATAATTAAAAAACATTTTGGAAATCATTAAAAATATTTTTGTTTAAATTATTTTTGTATTTTCTAAAAAAATTAAATTTTTAAAAGCCTCTTAGGCTTTTCAGTTTTATTTTTTCTTAAATTATTTATAATTTTGTAAAATTATTTCAAAAATTTAAATATTTTCAAATAGCGGAATACCTACCTTAATACCTTACCAGGGGGGTAAGGCAGGGAATACCTAGGTTTCGGAAAGAGCCACCAATCTTCGTCAGTTCCCTTGTTTTATTTTGTCTTTTTTGGTTTTGTTGTTTTTATAAAAACAACAATAAAGTTATTAAGCCTGACCATTTTGCAACAACAAAATACTATGGTATCCCGGACAAACAAGCCAACACTGTTCTATTTTCAAACAGTTTGCAAATTATTTGAATATTTTCTAAAATTTTTGGGCCTAGTTTGTTACCTCCCCCCATGAAAAAAAATCCAATAAAAACCCTAACATTCAATATTTAGTGTAGTCAAATTCTTATATTTTCTACATAAAAATAACTTACAAAAACACCATCTTGTATATACACATATATAAAATATATTTTAAACAAAAAAACATGTTCTCACAATACTTAGCCAACAACACCATTATAACAACAAAACATAAATATTTGTTAGGCTGTTGCAGGCAATTATTTTTTTTTTTTTATCAATTGACTTTAACGTAATTATATTAAAAACAAATTTTATTTTAAATCAATTTACTATAACTATTTAGATAAGTTTAGGCTCTTAGGCAACAAAATTGCAAATAAGAGTTTGAAAAAAAAAAAATATTTTTAAAACAATTTTCTTGCTCAATTAGCCATATTAACCATGGTACAACAAATTCACTAGTTTTTTAAGTGTATTTTTCTGGTCTGCCAAACTCTCAAATTTTTTTCTCTAGTTTAAAATTTTTTCATAGCTTTTAGTTTTATGTGTCTCGTCTTGGATTTTGTAAATAATTTATTCATAAATTTATTTATTAGTTTAGTGATTCGATGATATATACATAACTACATACATAAATATGTGTAATTCTACTTTTTTTCTATTAAGGACAAATAAAAGAGAAAGACTCTAGATGCTAACTTTGAAGGTGTTTTTTTTTTGACTGAAATTCGCATTGACAGGGTTTCTAAACAGGGAAACAAATGACTTCATTTGCAAGCAGCGGGTAAAGAAGTACTTCACTACACTCCTTCCTACCAAAGCAAGTGGAAGGACATACGCAATCTAGAGAGGGAGGTCCAACGCTATAAAAGAGAACCTCTATATCAAGAAGCCTATCAGGCAGGTCAGAGTGGCATTCATACCGACGCAGTTGCTGAGGCTATTTGCAGTTATAGAATAAATGCCATCCTCGGAGACCACCCCCGCCCCCTCCATTGCAGCTGAAGAACGCCAGCTGCGTAGGAAAACCAGGGTAGTTTTGGCGAAATTAGGTTCAGCATGGGATTCGCATTGGGCACGAATTGAAGAAGATGTGCTTGACGTCTGCCCGGCGTGTGATACAGGCCCGCACAATACGCTGCACCTCTTTAATTACGTAGCTTGAGCCAGAATTTTTAAACCTGTTGCTTGAGCCGGATTTGCAAGGCAATGTGCTGCTACAACAACAACAACAACCCAAGAAAATAATTAAATGAAAAATCACGAGATCCATTGCACAAAAGCTGTAGAATTTTAATTAAACTAATAGCGATGCCCCAACCTAAAATTTTGGAAACCTACTTTTTAATGAGGCACCGAAAATACACTAGAATCTACCTTTGATAAAATATCTTTTCTAGGCCACCTTTGGCGTCATTGCCACTACCAAAAAATGATTTGCTCGACGGAAACGTTTACACATCCACCAAAAAGGCCACGTCAGTTGCGCGTTCATGTCGTTCAGTCATTGGTATTTTTAAATCAAAACTATATTGGCTGATGTAATTTTCAATGAAGCGCGTAAAAGTTAGACAAGAGTAGCGGAAGGTTGCATCATATTCTTTTTAGGGGTGACAAGCTGGTGGTTGGAAAGGAGGCCATTGAAAATGACGAGAAGAGAATCTCTGGTATTCAATGAGAAGAAGAGTTGAAGGTCTTCTCATAGAAGACTAAGACGTCTTCTCACAGAAGAAGACCAACAGGTCTTCTCATAGAAGACTGAAAAATCTTCTAATAGAAGACCAAAAGAAGGTCTTTTCTCATAGAAGAGCAGAAGAAGGTCTTCTCATAGAAGAAGACCAGAAGTTCTTCTTCTCATAGAAGAAGACCAGAAGGTCTTTTTCTCACAGAACACCAGAAGGTCTTCCCACAGAAGATCATTGAAAATGATCTGAAGAGAGTCTCTGGTCTTCAATGAGAAGAAGAGTGGAAGGTCTTCTCATAGAAGACCCGAAGATCTTCTCACAGAAGATCAGGAGGACTTCCCACAGAAGAAGATCAGAAGGTCTCTTCATAGAAGTCCAAAAGGTCTTCTCACAGAAGACCAAAAGGTCTTCTCATAGAAGGCCAGAAGCTCTTCTCACAGAAGGTCAGAAAGTCTTCTCACAGAAGGTCGGAAAGTCTTCTTCTCATAGAAGAGCAGAAGGTCTCCCCATAGTAGACCAAAAAGGTCTTCTCATAGAAGACCAGAGGGTCTTCTCACAGAAGACCAGAAGGAATTCTTCCCATAGAAGACGAGAATGTCATCTCATAGATGACCAGAAGGTCTTCTTCTCATAGAAGACCAGAAGGTCTTCTTCTCATAGAAAACCAGAAGTTCTTCCCCTAGAAGACCAGAAGGTCTTCTTTCCGTAAAGGACCAAAAGTTCTTCTTTCCGTAGAGGACCAGAAGGTCTCCTCCTCATAGAAGGCCAGAAGGTCTTCTTCTCATAGAGGCATGACAGAAGGTCTTCTTCTCATGGAAGACCAGAAGGTCTTCTCAAAGAAAACCCGAAGGTCTTCTTCTCATAGAAGACCCGAAGGTCTTCTTTCCATAGCAGACCAGAAGGTCTTCTTCTCATAAAAGGCCAGAAGATCTTCTCGTAGAAGACCAGCAGGTCCACTCATAGAAGACCAGGAGGTCTTCTCATAGAAGACCAGAAGATCTTCTTCTTATTGAAGACTAGAAGGTCTTCTTCTCAGAGAAGACAAAAATGTCTTCATCTCAGAGAAGACAAAAATGTCTTCATCTCATAGAAGAAGACCAGAAGGTCTTCTTCTCATAGAAGGAAGGTTTTGTCATTAAATACCAAAAGGTCTTGTTCTGTTCTTCTATGGAAAGACCTTCTGGTCTTTTATGAGAGTCTTTGATCTTTAACTTTTTGAACTTTTTCTTTAATGAAAAAACACATAAAATCCTTTTAATTATATATTTTTTTTCAAATATCTTTTTTTTTACAAACACATATAAGGGTATTGACCTCTATATTATACAGTGAAGATTCTTTTATGGAAATCCTTTGCCAAAGAATTTTATATGGTCACGTTTTGCTGTTAATGTTACAAATTTTAAGAATTTGCAGTCAAAACAGTAAAATGTGAATCCCTATAAACTTCTCTGGCAAAAGACGACCTTAGAACACTAAAATATTTAGTTTTTTTTTTCTTAGAAAATAAATTAGAAATTAGAAAACTTATCAATAACATAATTAGTATACAAATGACTTATATAACAATAATATCATTAAGAGCTTATACTAACTAGCTAGCTAGCTAATCTATTACACTAACATTAACAGCCTTAGAAAACTAAACTGCAGCTTAGCTTAAATAATAAAAAAAAAAAAATAATTCTATAAAAAATGTGTGGGGAATTCTTAAGCAATATCAATTGTTTGTAACAATAAATAATTAAAGCCAATTTTATTTTTTTTTTCCTTACCGCTAACAACTTAAAACTGTGTATGTTACATATGTGTGTGGGTGTGAGCCATGGAGAGAGCTTTTAAATCAAACTTGGAAACAATTCATTGAAACCCGGAGGCCAATCATTGAATTCTGTGGCCAAATCTTCGGACAAGGGCTCATAGTGGGAAGAGGAGGGCGGTGAGCCCAAAATAGATTCATAACCGTGATCTGAGGTGGCCGAATGAAATGATGGGGCCGGTGATTTGGCCAGCGGGGAGACCAAAGGTCTCTTGGGACACAAAAATTTGGCAATGGGATCAAAATTGAAATCGTCATTGTCGGGGTTTTCCTCCTCATCATCATCATCATCACTACAGGTGGTGACATTGAGGAAAACCTGAGAGGGTGAGGCAATGCCGCCAGATGGTGAGGATGTTGATGAGTTATAAATCATATCAACATCATCCTCATCATCAGCAGCATTGGAAGCCGTTGAGCCATGGGTTCGGCCACCATCCCAATAGATTTCTTCCACAACCTCATTTACGGGCACGGCCACATCATCCATGACCACGGTTATGGAATTGGTCTTGGCATCATATGTACCATACACAGTGTCAGGTGTTAGGGTAGTGGGGGCGGCTGTACTGGCCATAGCATCTGGGGCTGTTAATGTGGTTGTAGTAATAGAAGAGACGTCGCTGGTTGATTGACAAATTTCCTTTTCTAATTTATTTTCTAGGGTCAATTCCGGTGTTTGCAGAGAGGGCATGTATGTGGATGTTGTTGTTGCTGTTGTTAGGCCACTGCCATTTTGGCTTGTATGTTGGCCGGATTCCAGGCACTCTGTTGTGGTCCCCACCACTGATCCAGACAATCGCTCTGTTCCGCCTGCAATTTCGGCAACAGACGCATCGCCCTCTCGATTGCTAGCCTCCAGGTCTGCTGTGATATCGGCAAGGAGGCTTTCGGCAAGTTCTTCCAGCTTGCCGGCATCAAATTCTGCATCATCGAGCGTTCCTTCGCCGATTTCGATGTCGGGTAGGAGCATATCTTGTAGAGAAGGCAGAGAGCTATGACACGCCACAGGGACGAGACTGTTGTGCTCTTTTTCAGCTGTTGTTGCAGTTGCAACACACTGCTGCTGCTGTTTAACAGCTGTGTCGACTGAAAGTCCTTGGGGTTTGAGCCCTGCTGCAGAGGGTCAGTATTTTTGGATACTGCTGATCCGTTTAATAAGGACTCACAGCCGGCACAGCGGCTAACCAGGGTTGCGCTGGCGGCGGTACTGTGTTGTTGCTGTTGTTGTTTGTTTTGTAGCTCCTGCAATTGTTGTCTGAGCGTCTCTACTTCCATGTCAAGTTTTTGATTCTTCTCCAACAGGGAATCATTGATGACCTGTAGACTTTCACATTTGTTGACGAGAATTTGGGTACGTGCCGTTAGTTCTTTGATTTCACATTCCATCTCCTCCATGCGGGCCTTTTTGCGATCGCGTGATGTTTGGGCCGCAACGCGATTTTTTAGTTTTCTGAAAAAAAAAACCAAAAACTGGTTAAAAATCTACAAAAAGACGTAAGAAAGCTTCCAAAATTTTGGAACCTGTGTCCAAGATTTTATAATTTGTAAATCTCCTACGACATTGAAAGAGCCTAGTAAGGCGAGGTAAAAGTCTTAGCCATGAAGGTGTAACATTTTCCAAGGTATGTTGAGAAAATTGATTGTCTTCTTAGAGAAGACAAGCCTTTTTATATTGGAAAACACCTCATCCATGAGAGGGTAAGGAAACCCCACTAAGGAAAATCCATTATTACAAAAAATATTCTAAAAAAAAATCTTAAAAAGCTCTAGTTCTGTAAAACGATGACTAATTCGGCACTTTCATTTAAAAAAAGCAAGCAAAGCTTTTTTTCTAATTAAACGACCAACCATTGCCTTATCTTCTGCTCTAGATTAATTTTTCTATTAACAATACTCACTTCCGCTGAATTTTCTCCTCCCATGTCAAGTGATCCAAACGCCTCTTTTTTCCTCGTGGAGGACAAGTGGTGCTGCTACTATTCGAATCACTGCAATCATTGTCCGATGAAGCCGTTGTGGAAATTTGCACAGCTGTTGGGTTTTGTGGGGGAGCAGGTTTAATTTTAGGTAGTAATGTAGTAGTAGTAGTAGTATTGGTTGTGGTTGTTGTTGTAACCATGGGAGCCACAATGGTGGCTCCGTTGGGTGCATTGGCTGGCGTTATAGCCACATATTTTGGAACTGTTATAAAAACTGTAGGTGCTGCCATGATTAATTACTTCAAAGCTTTTTCCCCTATGTTCTGGTTCAATTTCCTTCTCGAATTCACTTTAAAAAATCATAATTTAACGTGACGTTGTTGCTGTGTTGAGTTGATTTGTAAATCCAAAATAAAATCTGTTGTTGATTTAAAGAAAGACTTCCGTATTTTGTCTTTCAACTATTTTTTTCTTTTGTTATCTGATCTGACGTGTTGTTATTATGTTGATTGTTTGGAAACATCTAATGGGTTACTTCTCAGATGGCCTTTTGTATCCATCAGAGGTTGGTGGTTACTTCAATTGCTGCGTATTGTTGGGAAATACAATTTGTTTTTTTATTTTCTTCATGTCTTGTTTTGTAAGTCACTGTGTGTTGTTGTTGTTGCCTTGTTTCCGCACTTTTCTTTGCTAGCTATATTCGCGACATGTATTCTTCAATTGAAAATAATGAAATGAAAATAATTGCGTGGCCCAATACGAATTGGACTTCGTTTCTCCAACATTCGATGACCGATGTTATAAAGTACGTATCGTGCTGTGATTGGTCGGTCGTTTGTGAGACAACAACAATAAAGAGGGGATGATAGGCAAACGGGTTACCGTCAATTGTGCCGTTAAGCGTTCGAGCACAATTCAGGCGTCATGGCGCGTCAAAAGTGAAGTCAATGGAGACAGAAATAGTAATGAAATTGGGAATTAAATTTAAGAAAAACTAAGTTGAAATAAAATAATTGAATTGGAAATAACAAAATAGAATGATTAAATTAAATTGGAATATAGTACTTAATTAAAAATTATTAAATATATAATCCTTCGTCACTTTTTTACAATTAAAGCATTAGTGTTCACAAAATCGACCATTTTCTCAATAGGGCTTGCGCATATGGATATCCGTCAAAAGTTGGTATTGAAAAGTTTGAAACAAGGCCACTTGTAAAAAGGAAACATTTATAAGAATTCACTGCAAAAATGGTAGAAATCTTGCAGCAATTATGGTAGTCGCACCGCAATACAGAAATTAAAGGGAACAAGTAAAATAACAGCTAAGTTCGGTGGGGCGGATCTTTTAATAACCTCCACCATTTGGAAGGAACTTGACATTTTTCCAAAAAAAAAAAAAAAAATAGAAAACTAGCACTTAAATGAAAACCGTTACATGGCGAATATATGAAAACGTGGACCTGCATACGATATTTTTCGTAATAGGCTGTAGTTCCCATTACGAACTTCAAATACGAAATTTGAAACAATTCCGGTGAATAATGTCGATAAAATCATGAAAATTCCGAATATCGGGTGGTACTGTAATATGAGGGCTATACGAAAACGTGGACCGACATGGCCCATTTACGAACTTAACATTAACAATATGCATGTATGCTAAATTTTAGTCTTCTACCTCAATTCGTTCGAAGGATAGAGTGATTACAACAGACAGACAGACGGTCATCGCTAAATAGTCTTAAGGTAAGAATACATTAAACTTTCTCGCCTTTAGATTTTTTTTTTTGAAATTCTGCTAATTTGGTTCCAACTCCAGGTTCAAAAATTCGCCTTATATCACGGGCCGTAACCACAGACTTTGTAGAGTGATTGGGGGTAGGTTTGGCTGGGCAATTAAGGAAGTGCAGCGTATTGCGCGGACCTGTATTACTCACACATTTTTGTCAATTCGTGCCCAATACCATGGCATAATTACAGAATGTAGAACAAAGCTATCCCCAAATACTATTTTTTTTTTTTGGTGCCCTTATTCTGTCAAAAAATATACACATTTTGTGTATAACAATAATTTGACATTATTTCAAATTTGGTTGCAAAATAAATACAAATTTTCGATGTAAATGGGTAACAAATTGTTCTGTATTGTCCTACTATTTCAGATTCAATCTTGTGGAATTACCCCGAAATTCCATTCTTTTCTCGCGAGTTTTCCCTAAAATAAGAATTTTGTAAAAAAAAAATAGAAATAAACAAAGCCAAATGTTGTTTATTTACAAGTCGGTTTGACACTTTAAGACTCCAGCACAGAGTTGCATTTTTCTAGGTTCTTTGAAGTTGTGCAACCTTTCCTATTGAGCCATGGATCACAGTGTAAATTAATTTTTAAATTTTTTAGTATATATCTGTCAAAATTTTCTGAAATATTACAACCATAATATTCAAAAATTATTATTATTTTCGTTAACATCCATAAAAATATCTCTTTATTAAAAACATTTTTAGCATTTCCCAAATCTTATAATGAAATTTACATGGTGTGAAGGTGCCACCAGTAATTATAGCATGCGAAACAAGTTGTTATCAAATTTCAGTGATTAGCTATGATATCATTTCTCAGTGATTAGTAGCTCGGTTTATTTGGTTGCCTCTTGATTTTGTGCGTTTGAAAATCTAACAATTTTAGCTAGTAATTAACAAAATAAACAAAAATTTAAATACAAAATAAGTGCCTTAATATATTTGTGTGTAGATTTGTAAGAAATTCCAATGGCAATGTGAAAAATAATGCCATTTAAAAGTGAAGTTATAATTGTCAAGTGAAGTGCATGGAAGCAAACAAGTTGAAACTCCACAACAACAACAACAAGAAGCAACACCACAAACAGGTAGAAATAAATTGTGGAGTAAGAAAAAAATCAAATAAAAATATGCGCAAATAATGCTGTAAAATATCATATAATTATATTGATATATTTGTAAATTGTAATAAAAAGGATAAAATAAAAGAATTTCGTTTTAATTTGCACGTTTGCAATTTGTTTATTAAATAAAAAATTGTTCTATTCTTATGTTTTCATCAGTGCTCGTCGGTAAGTGTTGATGCAAAATAATTCTTTATTTTCCACATATTTTTAAAAACAATTTAGCAAACAAGAAGGTCTGCATTGATGGACAGCAGCATTGTTTTTGTTTGCAGACGTGTTGTGTTGTTATTTTTTTTTTCGTACTTTGAATGGTATTCTCTAGACGTCAAATACGAATAAACAAGTGTTGCCAATTTGGCTGGTTTTCATGGTAGTAAATGTTACCAATTTGGTGTTTTTTATGGTAATGTTTTTGACGAAATGTCAGAAACCCCCAAAATTACGAAAATCGAAATGTACTGCTTTATAATAAATGTTATCAAATAGGGGACTATATTCAATATGTTATGCGTGGTGCTTAACTATCCACAAAGAAGAGAAATTTCAAATTACATCTGATTTGTTGAAATTTGGAAAAAAAACTCAAATAAGCCGAAAATCATTGGGTAAATTTTACGGAGACATTTTAATCTTCTGTATCAAATAACATTGCTATAGTGCGCATGATATCACTTTTTTATATTAAAATAAAAATATATATATATCGGAGCCGAGTTCCACAAAATGGAAACGTACGTCCCGAAATTCATTCCATTTGGGCTGATATTAGCCATTATTTGCACAATAAACCTGAAATCGGATTAAGGATATAATATCCAAATCTTAGCCGTTCTCGATAACATATGGCAAAGGTATTTCCGAACTTTAAGAGATATCTGGTACCAAAGATCATTGTTGTCAAATGCATATTACGAATGTGAGGGATTCAAACACCAAATCGGATGAAACATATATATGCGATATCTGAACCGATTTTTACTAAATGAAATGTACTTGATTCTAGACTGAATTCGATCGTATATGCCAAAATTTAGGTCATTTAGACTTATATTGGCCATTTGGAGCACAATTAACACGAAATAGGTTAAAGATATATATGGGAGCTATATCCAAATCTGCACCGATCTTGATAAAACTTGGCAGAGGTATTTCAGGGCTGTATCTGATGCCAAACATCATTCTTGTGGGGTGCATATTACGAATGTGGGGGACTTAAACACCAAATCAGATGAAACATATATATGGGAGCCATAGCTATATCTGAACCTATTTTCATTACATTTGATGTACCTGCTTCTAGACTGAATTCGGTGGGATGTGCCAAAATTCAGCTCATTTGGACTGATATTAATCACTTGGTGCACAATTCACCAAAAATCGTCTGAAGATATATATGGGAGCTATATCCAAATCTGAACCGATCTTGATTAAAATTTGGCAGATATATTTCTGGGCTGTATCTGATATCTGATACCAAACATCATTCTTGTGGGTTGCATATTACGAATGTGGGGGACTTAAACACCAAATCGGATAAAACATATATATGGGAGCTATAGCTATATCTGAATCTATTTTCATTACATTTGATGTACCTGCTTCTAGACTGAATTCGGTGGGATGTTCCAAAATTCAGGTCATTTGGACTGATATTAGTCACTTGGTGCACAATTCACCAGAAATCGTCTGAAGATATATATGGGAGCTATATCCAAATCTGAACCGATCTTGACAAAACTTGGCAGAGGTATTTCAGTTCTGTATCTGATACCAAACATCATTCTTGTGGGTTACATATTGCGAATGTGGGGGCTTAAACACCAAATCGGATGAAACATATATATGGGAGCCATAGCTATATCTGAACCTATTTTCATTACATTTGATGTACCTGCTTCTAGACTGAATTCGGTGGGATGTTCCAAAATTCAGGTCATTTGGTGCACAATTAACTCGACATCGTTTGAAGATATATATGGGAGCTATATCCTGATCCGATTATCACAAATTTCAATAGAGTTCGTCCTTAGGCCAAACAAATATTGCTTGGAAAATTTCATCTCAATTGGATAATAAATGCGACCTGCATTTTGTTCCCAAGAATACATGGACAGACGGACTGACATACATAAATCGACTCAGAAAGTGATTCTATAAAGATCCTTAAAAGGAACTATAGGCCTATCTCGCTTCCTTTTCCATGTTACAAACAAATGTACAAAGACATAATACCCTTACCACTATGTGGTGTAGGGTATAAACAAGTTTAACCAGCCCCCATCGCCATTCTGTCAGTTGTTCCCACAAAACGTCATAACAATTCCAAAAAAAAACTGCTCCTTTTTAGATTACTTAATTATCAACACTGAAATGTAAAAAAATACATTAAAAAATCGCTTAAATCTCAAAATGTAGCAACACTGTTATTCATGCCAACCCCATCGAACACAGCATTCAATAACATTTGGTTCGATGCCAACCTCTCAACACAACGCACTCACATCCAACAACCCAGTCTCGCAACGAAAAACATAACAACAAAATGATTAGTTTGAAACGAACATTTAAGAGAAACGGTCGGCTTGTGCGGATAATCAACGTCAACGTCGTGTGTTAATTGTTGCTGTTAACAAAAGAAAGAAAACCAAACAATTCACTGTGAAAAAGAATTTCAAATTAATAAAATAATAAAGAAAGAAGAAGAATATTGTTGAAAAAAAAAAAAAATAAATAAATGTAAACAAAAAGATGGTAATTTATAAAACAAATATTTCTTGATTAAACAAGAAAAAAGTGGAAATTAAAAAATACCTAAGCTATTTGAAAAGAAAAATATTTGTTACCTTTGGCTTATTTTTTGCGACTTGTTGAGCGCGCTAGCCGTTAACGTCGTCGTCGTCGTCGTGGTGATCTTGTCTAACGTGTTTTGCTTCTTGACGTTCGTTCGTTCGTTCGTTGTTGATGGTTTGTGTGTTTGTCGTGTAGTGCCGTGTGCAGAGGGCGAAGCCGATGTGAAATTCTCGGCGGCGGCGGCTAAGCATAAAAAAGTCGGCGGCGGCTAAAAGTCGACTGCAGCCGAAAGAAAATCGGCGGCGGCGGCTAAAGCAATATACGGCCGGCGGCGGCTAAAAGTCGGCTACAGCCGACGACTTTAACGTGAACAAATAATTTCGGTTGTTTTAACAACTGTCAATTCATTTAATTTAAAATAAAAATGAAAATATAAATTTATATGCACATTTGTTGCTTATAGCACATTAAAAATTATAATAAAAATACTTTAATTTGATAAAAATGGTTCGACGACCGCCTTGTTATCGTGAACAAACAATTGTTTCTTTACTGTTGCCGGATGCAGGTTGCTTCTCTTAGCATTTACACAATTCCCGGCATATGAAAATGCTTGCTCTGAAGATGCTGATGTGGCTGGAATTCCAAAGCACATATTTGCTACAGTAGCAACATTTGGAAAGATCTATAAAAAGTAAATGGTCAAAACGTAACCTGCTTAAAACAAGTTTAAGATGTGAATCTTTAACGTACTTGTTTGTTCTGTCGCCACCAATCTAGAGGCTCGACCGCCTCGACTTTCATTTCCAAATATTTTCTTATTTCTAACTCTACGTTATTTTGTACATTAGAAGGCGATGGTCCCATAAATTCCAACATTCTTTGACGACTAGCTGATATTTTCTGCAAGTAAAATATACGTCAGTTAAGTTTACCTTTACATTTATTAAAACATAATACCTGTTTTTTTGCATTTGGTTCAGTGCTCGTTGATGGCTCATTTAATAATGTGTCATCGATTTCCTTTAATTTTTCAATTTCTTCCATAATCAAGTTCTCCTTGGAAATTGGAGACAGAACATCATGCACAAGTTCCAAGGAGTTTGGCGATTGTTTGGGTATCTGTAGTATATATTTATCTAAAACAGGCCAGTTTTTTTGGCATGGGTCCATAAGCGCAGCTACAACATACATTCTATATACTTTGAATCGCTTCGTGAAGTTTTGCACAGCGAAATTGCATAAATTGATTGTTAGTTCAAAAGACGCTTTTTCTTCTTCATTCTTCATTGAGGACATAATGGATTCCTGAAAATAAATACACGAAGATATCGTCGGATAATCTTGGCCTTGAAGGTGTTTTGTGGCGTCCTCAAAAATTTTTAAAAACGTGCCAAATTCCGTTATAATTTGCTTTTCCATTGTCCCAATCACTAACAGTTCCTTTTTAGCTTTAACTAATGCTACATTTATAGTGGATATATTATTCGTATAGCTTTGAATCATTGCAAGCAGAGAGTTCCAACGTGTTGCAACGGAATTTTTCAAAGAGGTGTGGTGCTTGACGTTTAAAGTTGCTTCATATTGTTCAGTAAAATAGTCATCTCCATGTGGAAATTGTTCGCAACTATCCAAACTCTCCAAAATTATTTCAACCTCTGTAAATATTTTTTCTAAATCGTTTTGTTCCTCCATATTTTGAATATTTGATATTTCTTCATAGCTATACATTAAGCTGCTATAAATTTTTTTTAATTTTGATATTATGTTATTAATATTTTCAAATGACTTGTTGTTTAGTATATCTTCCATCAAAAATCTGTGTAAAACATGAGCCATACAACCATATCTTGGTATATTTTTAATTTTTAAAGCTGAAACGATGTTGCTTCCACCATCAGTAACAGCACATATGTTTTTTTCCAACAGATTAAATTCACATAAAGCTTCTTCAATTTTTTCTACAACTGCTAGTCCAGTGTGAGGTCGTGGAAAGATCTCTGTCTTGAGCGTTACAATTTGCATTTGAAAATTTTTGGCAGAAATGAACTTTTATGTTTATGTAAGACAAGTGCTTATGTTTATCTGACCACATATCCAATACAAGTGTAACATTTTTGGGCGACTCTTTAAGGCTTGTTTTTACGTGGTCCAAATATATGTTATAAACATCGTTTAAAGCCGTCGTAGCTATTGTCCTATCTGTGGGGAATATAGCCTTTGGGTTTAAGAAAGATACCAATTTCTTAAATCCTGGCCTTTCAACAATTTTAAACGGTTGCAAATCCCAACAGCACATTTCGGCGACCCGGCGAGCATTTTGTTGTTTGTTGTTACAACTTGTTGAGGATTTCAATGCATTTTGTGTCATTGTT